CTTCATTTTTCGCAATATAATGTTCCATTACGAAATCAGTGGAAAATCTTAATATCACAGTTCATCTTAAAATTATTTGTTATTGAATTATCTTATATCTATATCTATTGTACGGGTTGGTGTCTGCCTTTTTGGCCACTTTTACCTATATTGTATCATATTATTCAAGACAGATCATCATAGGTTCATGAGACTATTGTGATATATGTTTTCAATCATTTGAAAAATATTTGATTGTGTAATACAATACACACAAAAAAGTGCAAAATAATAAAGTGCAGAAGTGCACGTTGCCCATATGAGCTGTGTCTATATTTTGTTAAAAATTAATAGTAGTTTACAGCAACTGGATTAAATTTTAATATTTTTTATGTAGAAATATGTGCATGATTAAGTCATTAAGCTGGAAAATTGCAATTTACTGCAGTTTTTTCAGGGAGGTTACTTTGATCGATGTATTCATTCAGCTTAGTTAAAACATAATATAGAGCCTTAATGTTGATAAACTAACAAAAAGTGTTGTGAATGTTTACTTGCTCTACTCAGCAACCAAAACCAATTTAACAGTTAACGAATAAAAGTCAGGTTCGCTACAAGTATATTCCACTACCTACACCTAGAACATTCCGAAGAGACAAATATTGACAAATAAATATTAATTTATATTGACAAATTTATGTAATTGAGACAATTAGTCTGAGACATCTGACATCCGCATGTCATGCATTTCCAGATTTATCAGTAACCCAGCGACCAATTTATCAAAATTATGCTAGAGGGTTATTCATTTGCACAGAAGTATGGTATGATGACCGACGTGACAAAGGAAAAAATAAAACACACTCTTAAACTTAATAACCTAGCTTAAGGGTGGACCTCCCTTTGAAATAAGAACGTGCCTTCTCAACAAAGAGATATTTTTTCTCAAATTAAAGCATTGATTTAATCTGCATTACACTGATGAAATCGCGGAAGTGTTTACCACAAAAAATATCCACCAATACGATTTTAATACTATTTGAAGGTTATTCCAAAAGAAGAGAAACCAGTTAATATGGTAATGATAACTCCGATGACGAAATATATTTTATTCCATATTAATGGGAAATATTCTATTCATTGAATGATCAACCATATTTTGTAACTAACGCAATAGTCATTATTGTTTTTACATTCATTAAACAATGCTAACTGCTCAAAATGTTTATAATTTCACACGATTTATAGCAGTTAGACAGTGGCAGTTCCAAGGTGTGGGGGGGCTACAGGGGCTAAAGCCCCCCCTTGAACCCTGGAAAAATAAATTTAAACATACATTTTGTCCTTTTATCATCGTATTGAATCATTGTATATATATATTTAATAATATATATTTTATAATATTTTATAATTTTTTTAATAAAAGGTATATTTTTTAAATATAAATAAAATTATATATTTTATCTAATATATAAAATTCTCGTGTCACAGTGTTTGTCTGCAAACTCCTCCGGAACGACTTCACCGATCGTTATGAAATTTGGTGTGTAAATTCTGTAGGTATGCGAATCGGACGTAAACTATTTCCCGTTTCGAAATTCTTAAAAGGGCTCCGCCCCAGTGGCTCTGGAGTTTCCCATGTTAACCTTATGAGAAATGGAATTAATGAATCTTAACAGCTGTTTCAATTAAACAAGTTGGTTCTGTTCTATGATGTTCAATAGCATTAAAGTTACAAGGATTACCAACAGGGTGCAGCACTATTATTTCTTTTACATTTATGACAACAGCTAATTTGCAACCAAAAGGTGAGTGAGCGTAGCGAACGAACTTCAACCTGGAGGCGAGTTAGCGTAGCGAACGAGCTCCAACCTAAAGGTGAGTGAGCGTAGCGAACGAGCTCCAACCCAAAGGTGAGTGAGCGTAGCGAACGAACTTCAACCTGGAGGCGAGTTAGCGTAGCGAACGAGCTAACCTGAAGGCAAGTGAGCGCAGCAAACGAGCTCCAACCTAAAGGTGAGTGAGCGTAGCGAACGAGCTCCAACCCAAAGGTGAGTGAGCGTAGCGAACGAACTTCAACCAGGACGTGAATGAGCGATGCGAACGAGATCATCTTGAAAATTAAACGTAACGGTACTTTCTTTCCATCGGTCTGTCTTAGGGGAAACCTATAACTTAGGCGATACGAAGTTCGCCGGGTCAGCTAGTATATATATATAACTAGCTGTACCCGCAATACTGGCGGGTACAACGGGGCAAACGTTTAACTTCATAAGTATTCGCATGGCTCATTCACGTCCTGGTTGAATTTCGTTCGCTACGCTCACTCACCTTTAGGTTGGAGCTCGTTCGCTGCGCTCACTTGCCTTCAGGTTAGCTCGTTCGCTACGCTAACTCGCCTCCAGGTTGAAGTTTGTTCGCTACGCTCACTCACCTTTTGGTTGGAAATTAGCTGTTGTCATAAATTATAAAAATAATAATAGTGCTGCACCCTGTTGGTAATCCTTGTAACTTTTATGCTATTGAACATCATAGAACAGAACCAACTTGTTTAATTGAAATAGCTGTATATCATCCATACACGGAACTACATTTACTGTCTCTTTATATATACTGTAAAAACAAGCTACTGTAACAACAAAAATACTGAATAGGTACAATACTGTACATACAAAAAGTATGTAGAGAGTAATATTTAAAGGGAAAATACAGTACTGTACTAGTGTGATTAAAATACTAAACAAAATGCAACGTAAAAACTATCTCAACAACTGGCAGACTACACTGACTACAGTACTGTACCTAGCCAAACAGACACAGGAAGCAAACACAGGAAGTTTGATTTTCACGTCTCTACAGGAATCAAAACACTACTGACTTGCACTGTTAAGGCAAAACTTCGAATTATTGAGGCACATTCGTGCGAACTTCGACTTATAAAGGTAAACTTCAAGTTACTGAGGCTTGATGACGGGAAAATTTGAGTTACAGAGGTAGAATGTTACTGTTCAAAAGTTGTTAAACTTCGACTTATTGAGGTTAAATATTTAGAAAGTTTGACTTATTATAGTACCTTAATAAGTCAAAGTTTCTATATAAAAACATTATAATTAATCTGGTTTTCAAGGGGATTAAAAAAATCGAGATATTGAGGAATTTGAGATATTAAGGTTTGAGTAATTGAGGTTCTACTGTATTCACATTTACATTTTTTTATTTTTTTCTATTTGTCCAACATTAAATATAAAAAAATTAAGTAAAGAGCATTTATTCTGAGCCTAATGGATTATTGCAGGATTTTGGGGCAATTAGACTCAAAGTGAACCATATTACTTTTAACGGTAAGACAAAGTTTAATAATGAATTGTATAAAATTGCACATCATTCAACATATTCCACATATTTTACTGCAATTTAGGCAGTGGTTTGCGGATGATTGCTGTAGGTTGACCGTGGAGCTGAGCTGCCACGGTTCTACTCTTACACGGTGCATTCTCACTCTTATTATTCGCGTGATTGTTGGCTTAGTATCACAATGAGTCGCAAGTACGCATGTGTATTGTTTGAAATTAAAAGCTCTACATTATACTAAATGGGTAGTATATATATATATACCTGTTTTGAATATTAACGGTGTAAAATGAAAAAAGAATGAACGTGACACAATATATTAAGCTACAAAAATAATATTTAAGCTACAATTATTCAACATATGACTATGATTTTCATATTAATACGATGAAATACTAATAAATATGGTATTTTCATGAAGTAAAATGAATTTGAATTTATAGCATTTTCTGTAAAACCTTGCAAGCTTGATTTGTTTCGCCGCCATTTTCCGAAATGGCGGATTTAGTTGAAAAGGGATTTTTTGGGAATTATCAGGAAATGTCCCAAACACATTCCAGAAGAGTTTAACTAATTTGTTCTAGGTTAATCTTTATCTGCCCTGTACTATATACAGTAAACAGTAAATAATAAACAGTTTCATAACGACCATGACGTCTAGAAATTGTAGAATGACTTTGTTTATGTAAGTTAGGGTATTTTTGCATAACTGTCATAGACTGATAAGGAAATTCTCGGTTTAGCTCTAAAACTGTATGTTGGAATATATATATCTGTATGTTTGTATGTGTGTATGTATGTATGTACAGTATAGCCTAGGTATGATATGTATATTCATATGTGTGGATAGGTATGCGTAGGCAATAGCTTATTTTTTGTAGTTAAAAATAGTAATGAAAGTAAATCAGTTTGAACTTTATTTTAGATTTTAATTTAGTTTGAGCTTTTATGTTTGTTATATTTTGTATGAATGCAGTGTTGCTTGTCATTATGTAGTGGAAGTGGACTTTCTCTACCGGACAGACGGTCAAAAGACTATTGTCTTTTGTGCCTAAGAAAAACATTGTGTAAATTTGTAAAACAAGTTGTCAAATAAAGCACTGTTACATATCTATCTGCATGATGAGATTTGGACGCCGTGAGACAGCTTAAAAATTATATTTTTGACGTCGTGCCACTGACTTATTTCATTGGACGTAGTGCAATACTCTTTGGAGAACATAATGATTATTTTTATTTCAAGTTCTTGCAGCAAGGTTTCTCTTCAAATGGTTGGTGTGATTACACTATGTTCAGATTTGAGGAATTTTGTTGATAAGTTGGATTTTATTTTCAATGCTGAGCATGACAGCAAAGCCTAAATTTGGATCATTATGATATTCTAAAGAGAGTATAAATTATTAAATCATTGGGAATTGGTTGTTTAAACTATATGAACGGAATAATACACATTTTTAATAAGATTTGATCTTTTTCAGATGTGAATATAGATTGGTTCAGAAATAAGAGAAGAGAATTTAATTTAATCACAAATACTTATTTTTAAAGTATCTAATGTTGTAACCTTTGAAGGACAGCTATAAATGTTATTTTGTAGCCCTAAACAAATTAAATTCAGTAATTTGTTTTGGTAAACTATATTTTAATTATAACAAACTTTTTTGTTGTAGGTCGAGATGGTAAAAAGGAATAAAACATCAGATTATATTGATTTAAGAGTTAATATAAAACAATAGAAGAATAAAGAAAGACACAAAAAAAAGTTAACCCTCAAGTATATTGATAAATTCTAATATGCATAGCAAAATTTGAAAACGAGAAGATTCAATGTTGAATGAGTGATACGTACGTAGCCTATCATTTAACTGCTGTACATTTAACAAGTCCTAAAAACAAATTTACTACTTACATTGATACAATCCTCTATGATTTTTTGAGATTTCTAACAATATACTGTTTATATGATAAGATTCACCGTGATAAAATTGAAAAGTAGAAAATGTTGACTAGCTACAAACATTTTTCTCACAAGTGTCCAATATGTGGACAAAGCTGTTCAACTCGCTCCGCAATGAAGGTCCATATAATGTATCACACTGGAGAGCGTCCCTTTAAATGTTTGACGTGTGAGAAAACATTTTTCCAACTAAACAAAGTTAAGAGTCATTTGTTAATACACTTTAAAAAGTGTACTAAATTCTTCAAATTTCAAAGCCAAATAAAGGAGCGTACAAAAATTCAAACGAGGGAGAGACCTTATAAGTGCACTATGTGTGAAAAATCCTTTGCAAGAAAACAAGATATAAAGAGACATTTATTGGTTCATACAGTGGAGGGACCTTATAACTGCACTACATGTGGAAAATCCTTTGCATCACTAGGCAATATGAAGACACATACATTGGTTCATACAGGAGAGAGATCTTACATGTGTGCTACATGTGGAAAATCCTTTACACGAATAGGCAGCATGAAGACACATTCATTGGTTCATACAGGAGAGAGACCTTACATGTGTGCTACATGTGGAAAATCCTTTACATCAATAGGCAATATGAAGACACATACATTGGTTCATACAGGAGAGAGATCTTACAAGTGTGCTACATGTGTGAAATCCTTTAAAACAATAGGCGGTATGAAGAAACATACTTTGGTTCATACAGAAGAGAGACCTTACGAGTGTGCTACATGTGGAAAATCATTTACACAAAAAAGCAGTATGAAGACACATACATTGGTTCATACAGGGGAGAGGCCCTATAAGTGTGCTACATGTGGAAAATCATTTACACAAATAAGCAGTATGAAGACACATACATTGGTTCATACAGGGGAGCGCCGTCATAAGTGCACTACATGTGAAACATCATTTACTTTCATAAGTGCCCTGAAGAAACATATTGCAACTGTTCATACAGGAGAGAGGCCCTTTAAGTGTGCTACATGTGGAAAATCCTTTGCAACAAAAAGTAATATGAAGAAACATACATTGGTCCACAGTAGAGATACCTCAAAAGTGTACCACATGTAAAAAATGTTACGCATTCATAAGCTGTATAAATAAGGATATTAAAGGTTCATCTGGAAATACGATATGAACTAAACTAAACATGAATTTATCAAAGGTGCATGAGTGAAAATGTGTTGAAATTGGTTTGTAAGTACAATAAAATCAAAAAATTTAAGAAGAAAATTAACAGTTTGTTTAAACACAACTGGTTTAGCTTAGCTTTTTGTAGGTAGCAGAGAATTTTTGCACACTGCTCTTTTTTAAAATTTAGTACTCAAACAATATTGTTTGTATTCAATTGTGTGTTATGTTGTTACAACCCATTTTAAGCACTTTTCCATCTGGCACTTCCAACGTAAATGTCCAACCAAAAACCAAAAGGTTTTTATGCATATCATTTGTTAATCATTTTGGTACTTTGAAAAAATATATTTTTTAGTTCGTTACCGGAACGATCTTGAAACACCCCTCCATCCTCCTTATTACGATGTGTAACGCTAAGCCAAACCATGCTCCCACCCATGAGCGTAACGTATAATATAACAATTTTAGTGACTGTAAATAAATGTGTTTTATTTATCATAGATTGTGTGTCTTATGTGTTTTTGGCAATGTCCTATTTAATGATTAGTTATCTTCTCTATTTAAGATCGAATCATCTTTATGTCCCTTTCATCAATTTATTACGTTATTTCCAATTGTGTTAAAAAGCTGTAAATTGTGAACTAGCCTCTAAGTCGCTAGGCAATAGTCATATCTTCATTAATATAGACAAAAATAAGCAAAATAATAAATACTTATTAAATAACCTTCCTGACAAGAATGGGGTGGTACAGGGAAAAGCTTTATTAGCTATAATAATAATTATATTAATAAATAATTATAAAATTATTATTGAATTTTCACCAAAATATTTCCTTTAAATTGTGAAATACATTCATCCATATAAAAATCCCAAAGTACCCATCCATGAACTTGTGAGAAAACTAAAAGTCACACCCCCATAATCTAGACTTAAAATGTTCGTCATAACGAGAAGCCTTGTTCAAAACTCTCCATAATTTCATAAATTGTCCTTTAAGGTCGTAATTCCTTTCTAAAGAGAACTGTCCATGTACCTTATGTTTAAAATACCTCACCTGTACTTATTTGTTTGTTATTGTTTCAATTTATTACCTTAATATCATCATTTGTTTCTATTGCTGTATTCTGTTTCGTTTATTTCTGCCTAACTTAACCAATCATTAGTTTTCAATAACAATATTTTTTATAGTTAAGTAAATTGAATCAAAATACAATATCCGAAAATAAGCAAACTACAACCATTTATTATCCATAAAAATTTATTTAAAAAATTAGGTTAAGGCCTTTTTCTAAAGCTATTAAGCTTACAACGCTTCAATATCAATTAAACTCTATGTTCTACCATGGATAAAACATACTCCCTTACTAGATTTCTCATCCTTATAGAATAGCTGAATACAATTTTTTTTTTTTTTCATTTTTGTTCTTTACCTCCTTAAATTTAACACATTTCCTTAATAGTTACTGTTTTGTAGGTCCAAAGTTTGTTCGTAAATTACAAAAAAATATTGTTAAAATCGTAAATCTTTAGGTGGATTTTCAAAAAAACTAAAAGCGGCTTTTAACAGCTGCAGGTTGTTGTGATTAGACAATGTTAGGATTTGAGGTATTTGTGTTGATAAGTGGGATTTTATTTTCAATGCTAAGCACTTCAGGCTTTAATGATACACATTTTGAATCAGATGTGATCTTTTTCAGAAGTGAAGATAGATGAGTTTAGACATAAGAAAATAGAATATAATTTGATAACAAACTAGAGGCCCATGTTGCTCCGAAGCGTTTATATATATATATATATATATATAATATCCGAGAAATTATCAAATTTATGATTTTGGATTGATTAATACAGGATCATTAACTTAACTGATCAAATAATAGCTCAAATAAAAATCTATAATTTACTGATAATTTTGAGTCCAAAACATATAAAAAACCCCAAACAATCCTGGAGCTATTGAGTTTTAATCATAGATAAACCTTAAGAATAATATTTTTTATTTTGGTTCACCTTGCATTTGGTTGAAACTCGTCCGATTTGAATATAGCTTAATAATAGCTTAAATGAAAGCTGGTATTTCACTAAAGGTTCTTCGATCAAAATATATAGGATTATATAGTTGTAACTGGTATGTATTAATACAAAACTTTTTCAAATTGTGAGTTTGTCCAGTAATTGCTTGATGTGAAATCTTGCGTGCATGCCTTCAATTTAGGACCTTAATCAAGAAAATCGGTCGGGTAGAGAAGCAAAATAAACTCGAAAAAACCTAAATTTTTTCCATATATAAGATACTTATTTTGATAGTCTCTAATGTTGTACACTTTGAAGAACAGCTATATATGTTATTTTGTAGCCCTAAACAAATTAAATTCAGTAATTTGTTCTGGTAAACTACATTTTAATTATAACAAACTTTTTTGTTGTAGGTCGAGACGGTAAAAAGAAATAAAACATCAGATTATATTGATTTAAGAGTTAATATAAAACAATAGAAGAATAAAGAAAGACACGAGAAAAAGTAAACCCTCAAGTATATTGTGAAATTCTAATATGCATAGCAAAATTTGAAAACAAGAAGATTCAATGTTGAATGAGTGATACGTACGTAGCCTATCATGTAACTGCTGTACACACAAGTCCTAAAAACAAATTTACTACTTACATTGATACAATTCTCTGTGATTTGTTGAGATTTCTGACAAGATACTGCTTATGAGATAAGATTCACCGTGATAAAATTGAAAAGTAGAAAATGTTAACATGCTTCAACCATTTTGCTCACAAGTGTCCAATATGTGGACAAAGCTGTTCTACTCGATCCGCAATGAAGGTCCATATAATGTATCACACTGGAGAGCGTCCCTTTAAATGTTTGACGTGTGAGAAAACATTTTTACAACTAAACAAAGTTAAGAGTCATTTGTTAATACACTTTAAAAAGTGTACTAAATTCTTTAAATTTCAAAGCCAAATAAAGGAGCGTACAAAAATTCAAACGAGGGAGAGACCTTATAAGTGCACTATGTGTGAAAAATCCTTTGCAAGAAAACAAGATATAAAGAGACATTTATTGGTTCATACAGTGGAGGGACCTTATAACTGCACTACATGTGGAAAATCCTTTGCATCACTAGGCAATATGAAGACACATTCATTGGCTCATACAGGAGAAAGATCTTACGAGTGTGCTACATGTGGAAAATCCTTTAAAACAATAGGCAATATGAAGACACATTCATTGGTTCATACAGTAGAAAGATCTTACGAGTGTGCTACATGTGGAAAATCCTTTAAAACGATAGGCAATATGAAGACACATGCATTGGTTCATACAGGAGAAAGATCTTACGAGTGTGCTACATGTGGAAAATCCTTTAAAACAATAGGCAATATGAAGACACATTCATTGGTTCATACAGGAGAGAAACCTTACGAGTGTGCTACATGTGGAAAATCCTTTACACGAATAGGCAATATGAAGACACATACATTGGTTCATACAGGAGAGAGACCTTATGAGTGTGCTACATGTGGAAAATCATTTAACCAAATAGGTAGTATGAAGCTACATACATTGGTCCATACAGGAGAGAGACCTTATAAGTGCACTAAATGCAGGGCCGTACCTAGATGCTCCTTTGTACGTGGCGAATCAGCGTAAGTGCGCCCTCCGGGGGGTCTGGGGGGTATGGAATACCCCCCTGAAAGGCGGGGGGTCCGGGGGGGGAAAACTTTTAAATTTTAACATCAGTAAAACACATTTTTAAGCAATTCTGGCTCTTAAAACATCAAGAAATAATTCTGATTTTGACATTGAAAATTTAACTTTTTGCTACACTATAATGATTTTTTATGGTTTATGCTTAAATGATTGGCTAAACAATATATTTTTATAAAACATAATGATCCGTTAACCCAATTTCATCACAATGTATATTAAGGTAGTAAACAAAAGTAGGCCTATCCCTTTTTGTGGAATTTAATAAGTTACAATAAGTACAATTTGTACAGAGTTATTTACATAAGTTTTAATATTTACAACTGTATTCTGACTTCATCAATATTTACAATAATTGCACTTTCCTTGCTTTAACGAGAGCAAACTCATTGATTACTTCATTGAAATCAATTTTGGCCGCTCTGTCATACTCGATTGATAAAATTGCCAAATTTGTCAGTCGAGTTTCGCACATGCTCGATCTCAAGTAGTTTTTAATTATCTTGAGCTTGCTGAAACTACGCTCGCAAGATGCAACACTGACAGGCATCGTTAAAAATATCCGTAAGGATATTTCTACATTTGGATAAGCATCTTTCAACTCGTATTTTGAAATGGCCTTTAAGAGATCCAAGTGAGATGCCTTCTCCAAGTCTTTTACAAGCTCTTTTGCCTGGAACTTAAAAGCAGCTACTTCATTTACTAGTTCAAAAGTGTCAATGTCTCTGCTGTATTTGACACCCAAGTCCGCTGCACATTTTTGAAGGTCACATACAGAGTTCCTACTTAAAGATTTGCCAGACAAGAAACTGAAGTCAGAAGAAATGTTGTGATAAATATGGGATCTGTTATCCATTTCACTCATAAGTTTGTCAAATACAGAGTAGCACTCTCTTTCAAAGATTTTTTCAGAGCTAATTAAATGCGCTTCATCTTCAGCCATCTCCCCAGACATTTTCTTGACCCTTCTTAGTCGTTTTTCGGCAAAACTGCTGTCGATGGACATAGAAGTACAGATTAGTTTGGCATTGTCTATGTACTTTTGTACACCTTGTTCTCGTAGATGTTGAATCTGTTTTGCCAAGCCAGATAGTAAACTTGATGCTACATCAAGAGTGACAGTCTTTCCTTGTAGTGATTTGTTGGTACAGTCCAAACTGATCAACACATCAGTCCAAATCTCTAGGAGGCATACAAATTCGAAATCAATTTGTCTTAACAGGTTTGTAGCACCACATGTAGTGTCAGAGTTCCAATTGTTGCTTCTATCGGCCATGTTTTGTAGCACCTTAAATACTGATGGCAAGTTCTTCTGCAGTGCTGTAACGGCTTGTCGTCTAGAAGACCATCTTGTCTCACAATGTCTCTTCAGGGTAGTTTTTACACAATCAAGTAAGGCTTCCCAACGTATTGTAAAACTACTAAAGAAATTAAAAAACTCCAACACTTTTCCAAAAAAATTCATCATTAGAACTGACACTTCTGCTGCGTGCACGCCAACTAGGTTCAAGCTATGAGCTGAACAAGGAATAAATTTGGCAAGGTCGTTCAGCTGGCATATATGAGCTTGGACACCTTCATATTTTCCAGCCATATTTGCACCGTTATCGAAGCCTTGCCCCCGACAGTTCTGGATATCTAAGCCGTCGTTCATCAGCTTGTCCAATATTTCTTCAGATAAACCTCTTCCAGTGTTCTGATGACTTATGATAAAGTCAACAAAGCTTTCTTCTATTACACACTCTCCATCCACAATTTTTACATATCTAATTATTTGACTCATCTGCTCTAAACGTGCTGTATCCGGGGTGCAGTCAAACATAATTGAGAAGTACTTGGCATTTTTGATATCTTGCAATATTTCAGACCTAACCTTTTTACCTAAAATCTCAATAACCTCGTTCTGTATCTTTGGAGAGAAATAGCTTGGGACATATTTTCCACTTTTTACATTAGCTATATGCTCATTTAGCTGAGGATTGTAGTGACTGATGAGTTCCAGAGTACTTAAAAATACACCACAGTTTTTGTCATTTATAGAGTCAGAACCCCCTCTCAATGGTAAGTTATTCCTGGCACAATGAAGAATTACATCTACGATACACTTGAGAACACTGCGCCACTTTTCAGCTTCTGCTTTTATGCATTTTTGGTTCTCTGCGTCAATTGTACGCCCAGTTTGCAATCGGGTAGCTTGTTCTTTCCAATCGCCATATGCTTGTAGGTGAGATGCTGAAATTTCGTGATTGTGAAGTGTTGGATTGAGGTGTTTCCAATCATTAAACCCCTTTTCTACATCCGAGAAAGCTGACTTATCGTCTTTAAATAAAAGACAAGGGAAGCAAAACAGTGTATCCTTAGATTGGCTATACAACAACCATTGCCTTTGTACAGTTTCACCATTTCTTATAGTTTTAAAAAACCAATTGCGGGAAAAATCATCTGTACAGGGAAATTTAAAGCTTTTTAAGTCAACAGTTTGAGGACCTCGTTCAACAAGTTTACAACGTACTGCATCAGATCGAAAATTTTCAGGCCATTGCTTGGGGTCGTCGTAGATTATTTCAATTTCTTTGCCTTCATTTGTAGGCGTACAACTACACCCTTCCTCTTCCTCAACAGCAGCACGCAAACGTTCATTCTTTGTGAATGGTTCCAGCTGAGGACCACAGTCTTCTTCTAAAGTAGCGAGGTTTGTGTCAACGTCCATTGGTATTGTTGGAGTTATGTAGCTGCGGTTGTCGTCGTCGTCACCTTCTTCTGATAAAGGTATCATGCTGCATTCTTCTTCTTCGCCTTCATTATTTTTGATGTCTTCTTCTTTAACTTCTTCTTGTATTTGAGAAGGTGTATCTTTTTTTCCCATTTCTTTATTTTCATTTAAAAGCCAGCCACCAAGTGCTGATGCTAGCTTCTTGTCCTCTTTTTGTTTTTCTTTTCGGATGTTCTTAAACTGACATCCAGAAAGTTTCTTCTTTGGACCCATTTCTGAAAAAAATTCAATTCCTAATAGAATAGAGAATCCATATTTGTACCATCGTCACCAATCCTATTAGGCAATACCAATTCTTGTAGATTGTCAAGGATGCTTTATAGCATCCATAAATGCATTTTATTGTTCCCCAATTCAAAAAATATATATTATTTTTTACTAAAAAAATAATATCAGGAAGTGGGCTCTTAACCAGAATTTTACAGAACAGTAAAATGAATTGCATAAACTTAAGACATACAATCAGGGGGGGGTGTAGAGGGGAGTGTTTATTGCTCATTTCCAAAAACATTTGGCCCACACGGCACTCTGGGGTTGTTCAGCGCCTCAGCAATGTCTTCATGGCTTTGGCGTGGGGGATGGTTAGTGCACAAGGGTCCGCGCGCCCAGACTAACTGCGACTACTGTACTGCGTTACGACGAGAGTCAACGTAGTTCGCTAAAGCGTCCACAGATAGCAGCACTCCCTGGGTCCCATGGCCAATTGGAGGGAAAACGACGGGACAAGTTGATTTCTAAGCTTGCTAGACGTGGATTTTAAGGGAAAATTTACAAATACAAATAACAAACATAGCCCATTGTTATAGAACATACAAACTAGCCAATAATTCGTTCTTTTGTATAGGCCAACAGTGAGAGTTTGTAAGCAGCACCCAAGCACTTATACTACTATAGTATAACCTACAAAAGGACCAAGGAATGGAAGTATTACAGAAAATAGAGAGGAAATAGGCAGTCGGAATATGCGAGTAGGCTTATTGCAATCAGTATAAAGTTGGGGCAGTTAATTTAATCTCCAGAAAAACAAGGCAGAAAGGCAGATGTTGTTGATGGCATGACATATAAGCCTAAGATTAGGTTAAAGGTTATGCAGTAGTTTTGCTCTAGGCCTATAATCACCAAAAGCTAAAACGGAACTTATGGCTAAAGGGTTATTCAATGTAATTAGTTTCAAACAAATCTTACCTAATTAATTGAGTGAGATCTGATGGATGAAGTGAAGCGATGTACGCAATACGAATACGGTTTAGGCCTACATAGGCTAAGTAGAGTATAAAGGCTTAGCACTGAAAGTGGCACTGGGACTGGACTGAGTGGACTGGCGTGTGGAGGAGAACTGGCAAGTGAAGTGACAGGCTTGCAAATCAAACAATAATACGCCCAGCGTTGCCAACTTAGAATTATTAACTTTAAAACGAAAATAGTGTCATGCTTACCACCGGGCCTTGTGAGAACGTCCCTGCGCCCATTTTTCTGTACAACTACAATGGTTGACATTGTAATAATTGTTAATAAATCAATAAATTACATTAAAAAACATAAAATAATTTCATATAACCGTTATTATAGCTACCGTAACATAAGTGTAAAACGTCAATTTCTATTTTTTTCATCTAGCTCATAAAAAAAGTAAAATTTGTCCCTCTTTCCCATTTTGCGTTCTTGCCCAACCGGCGCCCATTTTGCGCCCTTGTCTAACCTGCGCCCTTGGCAGGGGCCACCTTTGCCACAGCCTAGGTACGGCCCTGACTAAATGTGAAAAGGCATTTACTTCCAAAAGTGATCTGAAGAAACATACATTTGTCCATACAGCAGAGAGGCCGTATAAGTGTAAAACATGTGGAAAATCCTACAAATCATTCGGCAGTTTGAAGCCACATACATTAGTCCATACAGGAGAGAGACCTTACATGTGTGCTACATGTGGAAAAACCTTTACAACAATAGGCAGTATGAAGACACATACATTGGTCCATACAGGGGAGAGACCTTACATGTGTGCTACATGTGGAAAAACCTTTACAACAATAGGCAGTATGAAGAAACATACCTTGGTTCATACAGGAGAGAGACCTTATAAGTGCACTAAATGTGAAAAGGCATTTACTTCCAAAAGTGATCTGAAGAAACATACATTTGTCCATACAGCAGAGAGACCTTACATGTGTGCTACATGTGGAAAAACCTTTACAACAATAGGCAGTATGAAGACACATACATTGGTTCATTCAGGGGAGAGACCTTACTTGTGTGCTACATGTGGAAAAACCTTTACAACAATAAGCAATATGAAGACACATACATTGGTTCATACAGGGGAGCGCCCTTATAAGTGCACTAAATGTGAAACATCATTTACTGTCAAAAGTGATCTGAAGAAACATATTGCAAGTGTTCATATAGGAGAGAGGTCCTATAAGTGTGCTGCATGTGGAAAATCCTTTACAACTAAAAGCAGTATGAAGAAACATACATTGATTCATACAGGTGAGAGACCTTACGAGTGTGCTACATGTGGAAAAACCTTTACAACAATAAGCAATATGAAGACACATTCATTGGTTCATATAGGGGAGCTCCGTCATAAGTGCACTATATGTGAAACATCATTTACTGTCAAAATTGATCTGAAGAAACATATTGCAAGTGTTCATAACTAAAAGCTGTATGAAGAAACATATAATGGTTCACAGTAGAGATACCTCAAAAGTGTACCACATGTAAAAAATGATTTGCATTCATAAGCTGTATAAAATAGTATATTTCGTACCAAGGGCCGAAAATGAGGTTTTTCCGGCTCGAGATAGTTTTTAAGTTCGAGACGAAGTCGAGAACTTAAATCGATCGAGAGCTGCAAAACCATTTCGGTCCGTGGTACGAACGCTATTTTTCACCACACTATACCGTATTACCACTATAATAATGCACACTGATAGTCAACACAACTACAACTTTAAGGTTATGTGAAGAAATAATTTGAGGAATCAGCAAAAATAAAAATAAATAGTTGCTAGGCAACGGCGACAATAACACAATTCTATTGCAATGCTATGGATTTTAATTTTGTATTTAAAATGCATTCATGTTTTAAGTAAGTAAGCGGACAGCTGATTTTGTGGCCCCGGCCTGTAAAAACCTGCTTGGTCCCCAAATTACGATGACAGCTGGCATGGCCAGCAAAACGTAACTTTCAGCCACCAATTAACGTATGTAATACAGCCAAAAACATCATAGTGTGGTGAAAAAGGATATTAAAAAGGTTCATGTGCAAATTCTATATGAACTAAACTAAACATGAATTTATTAAAGTTACATGAGTGAAAATGTATTGAAATTGGTTTTTAAGTACAATAAAATAAAAAAAAATAAAAGAATCAAAGAGAAAATTAACAGTTTATTTAAACAGAACTTCCAACTGCTTTAGCTTAGCTTTTTTTATGTGGCTGAATATTTTTGCAAACTGCTCTTTTTTAATTTAGTACCTACTCAAAAAATATTGTTTGTATTAAATTGTGTGTTATGTTGCTACAACCCATGCACTTTTTCATCTGGCACTTCCAACAAAAAGTTCCAACCAAAAATCAATAGGTTTTTATGCATATCATTAGTTAATCATTTTTGTACATTGAAAAAGATTTTTTTTGTTCATTACCGGAACGATTTTGAAACTCATCCTCCTTACAATTTTAATGACTGTAAAATAATGTGTTTTGTTCATCATAGATTGTGTGTCTTATGTGTTTTTGACAATTTCCTATTAAATGATTAGCTATCTTCTCTATTTAAGAACCAATCATTTTTAAGTTCCCTTCATCATTTCGTTATTTCCAATTGTGTTAAAAAGCTGTAAATTGTGAACTAGCCTCTAAGTTGCTAGGCAATAGGCATATCTTCATTAATATATACAAACATAATTAAAATAATAAATACTAAGTAAATTACCTTCCTGACAAGAACGGGGTGGTACAGGGAAAAGCAATATTAGCTACAATAATGATTGCATTTCACAAAAATATTTCCTTTAAAATGTGAGATACATTCCTTATAAATAAAAATCCCAAAAAACCCATGAAATTTTGAGAAAACTAAAAGCCACACCCCCATAATCTATACAGTAGACTTAAAATGTTCGTCATAATGAGAAGCCTTGCTCAAAACTATCAATCATTTAATAAATTGTCCTTTAAGGTCGTAATTCTTTTCTAAAGAGAAGTGTCCTTATACCTTATGTTTAAAAATACCTCAGTTGTACTTATTTGTTTGTTATTGTTTTAATTTATTACCTTAATATTATCATTTGTTTATACTGTATTGCTGTATTCTGTTTTGTTTATTTCAGCCTAACTTAACCAATCAATAGTTTTCAATAACAATATTTTTAATGATTACTTAGATTTGCTCTTGCGGGTAAGGTAGTTAAGTATACTTTAGTGAAATGTTAATCGTTAGTATTAAGTAAAAACTGTAAATTGAGTCGAAATACAATATCCGAATAAGCTAACAACGCTTCATTAAACTCTATGTTCTACCATGGATAAAACATACTCTCCCACTAGATTTCTCATCCTTATAGAATAGCTGAGGACATCTTTTTTTTATTTTTTTTTCTTTGCCTTATTAAATGTAACACATTTCCTTAATAGTTACTGTTTTGTAGGTCCAAAGTTTGTTTGTAAATTACTAAAAAATATTGTTAAAATTGTAAAACTTTAGGTAGATTTTCAAAGAAACTTAAGGCTTGGCTTTTAACAGCTGTTAATTTTGTTTGTTTAGTAAAAATCCTTGCATCTATATATTAATTTGAAATTGTTTTTCTTTGTCATAGCTATTTTGAGAGAACAGCTGCGTGTAGAAACTCGGTAGGGGTGTCTAAAGAAAGGTCTTGGTTTGTAGATGAGCCATCAAAAAAAAAACATGGTGAATTCCCTTGGGGCTCTGCCCCAGTGGCCTTTAAATTCCCATCCCATGTTATTCTTATGGAGGAAAAAGGGGTTTTTTTCACAGCTAATTTGAGAGAATGGCTGGTCATAGAAACCTGGCAGGGGTCTCTAAAGAAAGGTATTGGTCTGTAGATGAGCCATCAAAAGAGGAACGAGGTAAATTCCCTTGGGGTTCTGCTCCAGAAGCCTTTAAAGTTGCCTCTTCAGATTTGTTTACATTACGACCATATGCATAATTCTACACTACTTTTTAATGAAACAGCTGTTAATATTTAAGTTGTGATTTATTGAATTTGTCATAATGAAGTACAGTATTTGCAATGGGGTTTTTTGATTTTAAATTGGATTTTCTTCTGCATCGTGTCATGTTTTGCAATATAATGTTCTATTACCAAATCAGTGGAAAATTATAATATCACAGTAACTCTTAAAATTATTTCTTTTGGAGTTAACTTATATCTATTGTATGGGTTGGTTTCTCCCTTTTTTTACCACTTCTTGGAGATTGTACGTAGGTGATATTCGTTGGCATATTGCATCTGTATACGAAACTTGGATTGGTGTAATTATTACAATGGAAAAGAGCGAGGAATCCTGGACAATTTGATGAGCTAAAAATAAAACTGAATCAACACTGTTCTAAATTTCTTGAGCAATCATTGAAATAATTGATTTGCAAACAATGGAAACATAGAAAAAGTCATAGAACACAACCAAGTAGAAGAAATAGAAATGTTTTTTTTTTGTTTCATTTATAATCGTTGTCATAGACAACCTAATGCGGATATGAGAGTGAAAAATTTGTAGAAAACACTAAAAAACAAGATAAGCTTTTTGAAAAAAGATGATATTTACAAAAGATTTTGATTAAATCTAACTGTTGTGTAGATCGTGAGTATTTCCATAATCTTTGAATCGCCTGTAATGCTACGCAATAGCTCGAATTCGAGCAACAGGTACACTAGTAAATAACTAATTCTGTGTTTTCATTACATTATACGTTGTCTTTTTGGTAGCTTAGAATTAATGTACATGAATCTTAGTAATTGTGAACTGAGATAATTATGTTTTTAATCTATAAATAAGTGGGTCAGTAATGTTAAGCTTTGTAAACTATTCCACGCATTTTGTTGTCAATGTAATAGATAAGGAACTTCCACACAGGCTATGCCATTGAAGGTCCTAAATTTTCTTACATGAGGATTTAATTGATTTTATATTGTTCTTAGTTTTATATGAAGTAGCCTAAATTATATAAAGTGTAATTATTTTGTTGCAAGTTAATCTATTTTATTTCTGTTACGAATAAAAAAAACAACAGTATCCATGTTATGTTATAAGTTTTAACTACAACAAATTTACGAAAACAAATGGCGACAATTTAAAAATATTATATTATATTTATAAAACGTTAAATCTATCTATCTATCTATACTATTATAAAGAAGAGGTGGTGTCTGTGTGTGTGTTTGTATGAGCTAATCTCAAAAACTACTGGTCGGATCGGGCTGAAATTTGGCATGATGATAGCTCACATTCCCGATTAACATATAGGCATATTTTTATCCCAAAAAATCCTTCGGGGCTCCGCCCCAGTGGCTCTGGAGTTTCCCATGTTAACCTTATGAGAAATGGAATTAATGAATCTTAACAGCTGTTTCAATTAAACAAGTTGGTTATGTTCTATGATGTTCAATAGCATTAAAAGTTACAAGGATTACCAACAGGGTGCAGCACTAGCACTATTATTTCTTTTACATTTATGACAACAGCAAAAGGTGAGTGAGCGTAGCGAACGAACTTCAACCTGGAGGCGAGTGAGCGTAGCGAACGAGCTAACCTGAAGGCAAGTGAGCGTAGCGAACGAGCTAACCTGAAGGAAAGTGAGCGCAGCGAACGAGCTCCAACCTAAAGGTGAGTGAGCGTAGCGAACGAACTTCAAAAAGAACCGAAATTTCTTAAACCATGTCCTCACTCATAACTGCTATAAGCATTTGATACTTATATGCCAACCCCGTACGAAGGACGGGTACTCTGCTAGTATATTTATATAGGCTACTCTTTACAGAACATATGGTAATTTTTATTTTAAGTTGCTGTAGAAAGGGTTCTCTTCATCAGGTTGCTGTGATTAGACAATGTTAGGATTTGAGGTATTTGTGATGATAAGTGGGATTTTATTTTCGATGCTAAGTACTTCAGGCTTAATGATACACATTTTGAATCAGATGTGATCTTTTTCAGAAGTGATGATAGATGAGTTCAGACATAAGAAAATAGAATCTAATTTGATAACAAACTAGAGGCCCATGCTGCTCCGAAGTGTTTATATATATATATATATAATATTCAAGAAATTATCAAATTTATGATTTTGGATTGATTAGTACAGGATCATGAGCTTAACTGATCAAATAATAGCTCAAATAAAAATCTATAATTTACTGATAATTTTGAGTCCGAAACATATAAAAAAAACCCCAAACAATCCTGGAGCTATTGAGTTTTAATCATAGATAAACCTTAAGAATAATATTTTTTATTTTGGTTGTTCACCTTGCGTTTGGTTGAAACTCGTCCGATTTGAATAACTAATAGCTTAAATGAAAGCTGGTATTTCACTAAAGGTTCTTCGATCAAAATATATAGGATTATATAGTTGTAACTGGTATGTATTAATACAAAATTTTTCAAATTATAAGTTTGTCCAGTAATTGCTTGATGTGAAATCTTGCGTGCATGCCTTCAATTTAAGACCTTAATCACGAAAATCGTTCGGGTAGAGAAGCCAAATAAACTCGAAAAAACCAAATTTTTTCCATATATAAGATACTTATTTTGATAGTCTCTAATGTTGTACACTTTGAAGAACAGCTATATATGTTATTTTGTAGCCCTAAACAAATTAAATTCAGTAATTTGTTCTGGTAAACTACATTTTAATTATAACAAACTTTTTTGTTGTAGGTCGAGACGGTAAAAAGAAATAAAACATCAGATTATATTGATTTAAGAGTTAATATAAATCAATAGAAGAATAAAGAAAGACACGAGAAAAAGTAAACCCTCAAGTATATTGTGAAATTCTAATATGCATAGCAAAATTTGAAAACAAGAAGATTCAATGTTGAATGAGTGATACGTACGTAGCCTATCATGTAACTGCTGTACACACAAGTCCTAAAAACAAATTTACTACTTACATTGATACAATTCTCTATGATTTGTTGAGATTTCTAACAAGATCTCCTTATATCTTATATGATAAGATTCACTGTGATAAAATTGAAAAGTAGAAAATGTTAACTAGCTTCAAACATTTCGATCACAAGTGTCCAATATGTGGACAAAGTTGTCCAAATCGATCTGCAATGAAGGTCCATATATTATATCACACTGGAGAGCGGCCCTTTAAATGTTTGACATGTGAGAAAGCATTTTTCCGACTAAAGCAAGTAAAGAGTCATTTGTTGATACACTTAAGGAAGTCTCCTATAAGTGGGGAATCCATTCAACTCCAAAGCCATATGAAGGAGCATTCGCAAATTCATACGAGACCCTATTAGTGCACTGAATGTGGAAAATCCTTTACAAAAATAGGCAATATGAAGACACACACTTTGGTTCATACAGGAGAGAGACCTTACGAGTGTGCTACATGTGGAAAATCCTTTACAACAATAGGCAATATGAAGACACACACATTGGTTCATACAGGAGAGAGACCTTACAAGTGTGCTACATGTGAAAAATCCTTTACAACAATAGGCAATATGAAGACACACACTTTGGTTCATACAGGAGAGAGACCTTACGAGTGTGCTACATGTGGAAAATCCTTTACACGAATAAACAGTATGAAGAAACATACATTGGTTCATACAGGAGAGAGACCTTACAAGTGTGCTACATGTGAAAAATCCTTTACAACAATAGGCAGTATGAAGAGACATACATTGGTTCATACTGGGGAGAGACCTTACGAATGTGCTAATTGTGGAAAAACCTTTACAACAATAGACAATATGAAGAAACATACATTGGTTCATACAGGAGAGAGACCTTACAAGTGCGCTACATGTGGAAAATCCTTTACACGAATAGGCAGTATGAAGTCACATACATTGGTTCATACAGGAGAGAGACCTTACGAGTGTGCTACATGTGGAAAATCCTTTACACGAATAGGCCATATGAAGACACATACATTGGTTCATACAGGAGTGAAACCTTACAAGTGTGCTACATGTGGAAAATCCTTTACACGAATAAACAGTATGAAGACACATGCATTGGTTCATACAGGGGAGCGCCCTCATAAGTGCACTACATGTGAAAAATCATTTACTTTCAAAAGTTCTCTGAAGAAACATACATTGATTCACAGTAGAGATACCTGAAAAGTGTATCACATGTAAAAAATATTTTGCATTCATAAGCTGTATAAAAAAGGAGATTAAAAAGGTTCATATCGAAATACTATATGAACTAAACTAAACATGAATTTATTAAAAGTGCATGAGTGAAAATGTGTTGAAATTGGTTTTTAAGTACAATAAAATCAAAAATGCAAAGAATCAAAGAGAAAATGTAACAGTTTATTTAAACACAACTTCCAACTGCTTTAGCTTAGCTTTTTTTATGTGGCATAATATTTTTGCAAACTGCTCTTTTTTTAATTTAGTACTCAAATAATATTGTTTGTATTAAATTGTGTGTTATGTTGTTACAACCCATGCACTTTTTCATCTGGCACTTCCAACGAAAAGGTCCAACCAAAAATCAATAGTGTTTTATGCATATCATTAGTTAATCATTTTGGTACTTTGAACAAATTTATTTTTTGTTCGTTACCAAAACGATTTAGAAAAACTCATCCTTCTTATTACGATGTGTAACGCTAAGCAGAACCACGCTCCCACCCATGAGTGTAACGTAATATGGGGACTTTTAACAATTTTAATGACTGTAAATAAATGTGTTTTATTCATCATAGATTGTGCGTCTTATGTGTTTTTGGCAATTTCCTATTAAATGATTGAATGGTTGATGAACGAATCATTTTTAAGTTCCATTCATCATTTTGTTATTTCCAACTGTGTTAAAAAGCTGTAAATTGTGAACTAGCCTCTAAGTCGCTAGGAAATAGGCATATCTTCATTAATATATACAAACATAATTAAAATAATGAATACTAAGTAAATTACCTTCCTGACAAGAATGGGGTGGTACAGGGAAAAGCAATATTAGCTACAATAATTATTGCATTCCACAAAAATATTTCCTTTAAAACGTGAGATACATTCCTTATAAATAAAAATCCCAAAGTACCCATGAAATTTTGAGAAAACAAAGTCACACCCCCATAATCTATACAGTAGACTTAAAATGTTCGTCATAATGAAAAGCCTTGCTCAAAACTATCCATCATTTAATAAATTGTCCTTTAAGGTTGTAATTCTTTTATAAAGAGAACTGTCCTTATACCTTATGTTTAAAATACCTCAGTTGTACTTATTTGTTTGTTATTGTTTTAATTTATTACCTTAATATTATCATTTGTTTATATTGCTGTATTCTGTTTTGTTTATTTCAGCCTAACTTAACCAATCAATAGTTTTCAATAACAATATTTTTAATGATTACTTAGATTTGCTCTTGCGGGTAAGGTAGTTTGGTATACTTTAGTGAAATGTTAATCGTTAGTATTAAGTAAAAACTGTAAATTGAGTCAAAATACAATATCAGAATAAGCAAACTACAACCATTTATTCTCCATAAAATTAATTTAAAAAATTAGTTTAAGGTCTTTTTCTAAAGCTATTAAGCTAACAACGCTTCATTATCAATTAAACTATGTTATACCATAGATAAAACATACTCCCTCACTAGATTTCTCATCCTTATAGAATAGCTGAAGACAATTTTTTTCATTTTTGTTCTTCTTTGCCTCCTTAAATTTAACACATTTCCTTAATAGTTACTGTTTTGTAGGTCCAAAGTTTGTTTGTAAATTACCAAAAAATATTGTTAAAATTGTAAAACTTTAGGTAGATTTTTAAAGAAACTTAACCCTTCCAGGGCTAAATTAAATGAAGGGCTGGAGCTTAATTATTTTTTGCCAAAAATTAAAAACTAAAGTGGTCGTGTTTTGTACTTATTTCACTTGAAATAATTCATGGATCATAAAAAGATTTTCCTTAGGGCTGAACTAATTTTTGTACAAAAGTTATGAAGAAAATAAAATTTGATTTGACGGATATATCCGTCTTTGGCCCACAAAAAACACAAGGTGGACGGATATATCCGTCTGCCGCCCTCAGTGACAATCACAAAATATGAACACTGCCAATAATCTTGAGTATTCTTGTGGGCGGCAGACGGATATATCCGTCAACCTTAGGCTATTCCTTCCCTTGTTTTATTTTTTATCCATAAAAATGTATCTATCATTCTGAAGTAAATCCAAACCACTCAGTTCCGCTCCCATGTCCTCAATCCCATTCCCCGCCAAGACTTACACTACGTAAAGACTGTTCTTCAGGTTCATAATATCCATCACATTCTATACTATTATTTTCACTGCCAAGTATAAAACCCCCCTCAGACATACTTTTATTAAGCATCTCAATAACATCTTCAAATTTCAGATCATTTGCATTAGTAACTTTAGCTCAGTAACATAAAAATAAACCAAAAAACACAAAATGTAAACATCACTCACTTACAACCATGTGTGAAGTGACAGCAATATTTACTTACACACACTCTACGGCGCAAAATAGTCGAAACAGCTGCGGAAATTATTATTGCCAACCACAAAAACAAAATAACCCATTTATAATACAGTGTAATGATTATTACCCTATTATAAACATTGTATATCAATTCGTTTTTTGGACGGATATATCCGTCTTTATCCCAGAAAAGAAATTTCTCAGGACGGATATATCCGTTTTCAGCCCGGAAAGTAAACAAAGATTGACGGATATATCCGTCCATAGCCCTGGAAGGGTTAAGACTTGACTTTTAACAGCTGTTGATTTTGAATGTTTAGTAAAAATCCTTGCATAAATAATTAATTCTGTGTTTTCATCATATTATACGTTGTCTTTTTGGTAGTTTAGAATTGATGTACATGAATCTTAGTAATTGTGAACTGAGATAATTATGTTTTTAATCCATCAATAAGTGGGTCAGTAATGTTAAGCTTTGTAAACTATTCCACCCATTATGTTGTCAATGTAATAGATAAGGAACTTCCACACAGGCTATGCCATTGAAGGTCCTAAATTTTCTTAAATGAGGATTTAATTGATTTTATATTGTTCTTAGTTTATATGAAGTAGCTTAAATTATATAAAGTGTAATTATTTTGTTGGAAGTTAATCTATTTTATTTCTTTTACGAATGAAAAAAACACAACAGTATCCATGTTATGTTATAGTTTTATCATTTGTATTGTTTTGTAATATTCCTTTCAAGAAAATAAATACATTCTTTTTCTTATTCCTGATTAAAATTTAAATTATTACTAGAAATTAAAATACCTGTCATGTGATTAATGTCACCATTGGGCTGTGACCGGTTTCAACCCGACAAAGGGGTCATATTCAGATAAAAGTATTAATGTATTTCAACCTTGAGTTACAATTTTATTGTAAGTTCTGTACGGTGAACTCCTGAGTTCATGTTTTGTTTACAATTTGATTCTTGTTATTTCGGTCATTTAAAACCTCGCTAAACAAATAATACGAACTAAGTATAAACCAAAGCTCATCCCCTAGTTATACAGGGTGTTTCAGAATTCGTGTCGGATATTTTAGGGTATTATTCCTGGGTAAGAAACATATCCAAAAATCATATTTAAATTTGCCGGAAGTCCTCAGTTACTCACACTGCCACCATTTTGTTTTTTTACCTATTAATTGTTTTCTAAAAAGTCGTAAAAGATACGTAATTTAAACTTTGCATAAACATTTATGACAACTAGACAAAACTACAACAAATTTAAGAAAATTTTTAAAATCCAAGAAACGAAATGGCGTCAATTTAAAAATATTTTATTATATTTATATAATATTAAATATATTTATATACTCTTTACAGAATGGTTATTTTTTTATTTCAAGTTGCTGCAGAAAGGGTTCTCTTCATCAGGTTGTTGTGATTAGACAATGTTAGGATTTGAGGTATTTGTGTTGATAAGTGGGATTTTATTTTCAATGCTAAGCACTTCAGGCTTTAATGATACACATTTTGAATCAGATGTGATCTTTTTCAGAAGTGAAGATAGATGAGTTCAGACATAAGAAAATAGAATGTAATTTGATAACAAACTAGAGGCCCATGCTGCTCCGAAGCGTTTATATATATATATATAATATCCGAGAAATGATCAAATTTATGATTTTGGATTGATTAATACAGGATCATGAGCTTAACTGATCAAATAATAGCTCAAATAAAAATCTATAATTTACTGATAATTTTGAGTCCAAAACATATAAAAAACCCCCAAACAATCCTGGAGCTATTGAGTTTTAATCATAAATAAACCTTAAGTATAATATTTTTTATTTTGGTTCACCTTGCGTTTGGTTGAAACTCGTCCGATTTGAATAACTAATAGCTTAAATGAAAGCAGGTATTTCACTAAAGGTTCTTCGATCAAAATGTATAGGATTATATAGTTGTAACTGGTATGTATTAATACAAAACTTTTTCAAATTATGAGTTTGTCCAGTAATTGCTTGATGTGAAATCTTGCGTGCATGCCTTCAATTTAAGACCTTAATCATGAAAATCGGTCGGGTAGAGAAGCCAAATAAACTCGAAAAAACGTAAATTTTTTCCATATATAAGATACTTATTTTGATTGTCTCTAATGTTGTACACTTTGAAGAACAGCTATATACAGGGTGTTTTTTTAAAAACTTGCATCTTTATTTATGTAAAAACCGCAATAGATAGAAATATGCAGTTTGCGGGAATCATCTATTGACGTAGGGGGACCAATTGTTTTGAATTCAACGTTACATTCACATTCCCCCCCTTTCCCCCCCTGCCCCCAACTTATTTTTTTTAAATAGCAAGGTACCCCTTGTGACATATCAAATAAAAGAGCATAAAAAAAGAAAATGTTTGATGAAAAAAAATTGAAAATCGGTTCATAAATTTGTGAGATATTCCCCCCCTCACCCCCCCGGAACTTATTTTTTTTTAATAGCAAAGTACCCCTTGTGACATATCAAATGAAAGAGCATGAAAAAAGAAAATTTTTGGTGAAAAAAAAATTAAAATCGGCTCATGAATTTGTGAGATAATCACCCCCCTTTTCCCCTACCCATAACTTGTTTTTTTAATAGCAAGGTACCCGCCCTTGTGACATATCAAATGAAAAATAAATTTCACCAAAATTTTTCTTTTTTTATGCTCTTTCATTTGATATGTCACAAGGGGTACTTTGCTATTAAAAAAAATTAAGTTCCGGGGGGGGTAAGGGGGGGAATATCTCACAAATTTATGAACCGATTTTCATTTTTTTTTCATCAAACATTTTCTTTTTTCATGCTCTTTTATTTGATATGTCACAAGGGGTACCTTGCTATTTAAAAAAATTAAGTTGGTGGCAGGGGGGGAATGTGAATGTAACGTTGAATTCAAAACAATTGGTCCCCCTACGTCAATAGATGATTCCTGCAAACTGCATATTTCTATCTATTGCGGTTTTTACATAAATAAAGATGCAAGTTTTTAAAAAAACACCCTGTATGTTATTTTGTAGCCCTAAACAAATTAAATACAGTAATTTGTTCTGGTAAACTACATTTTAATTATAACAAACTTTTTTGTTGTAGGTCGAGACGGTAAAAAGAAATAAAACATCAGATTATATTGATTTGAGAGTTAATATAAATCAATAGAAGAATAAAGAAAGACATGAGAAATAGTAAACCCTCAAGTATATTGTAAAATTATAATTTGCATAGCAAGATTTGAAAACAAGAAGATTCAATGTTGAATGAGAGATACGTACGTAGCCTATTATGTAACTGCTGTACATTTGACAAGTCCTAAAAACAAATTTACTACTTACATTGGTACAATCCTCTATGATTTTTTGAGATTTCTAACAACATACTGTTTATATGATAAGATTCTCGGTGATAAAATTGAAAAGTAGAAAATGTTAACTAGCTTCAAACATTTTTCTCACAAGTGTCCAATATGTGGACAAAGCTGTTCAACTCGATCCGCAATGAAGGTCCATATAATGTATCACACTGGAGAGCAACCCTTTAAATGTTTAACGTGTGAGAAAACATTTTTCCAACTAAACAAAGTTAAGAGTCATTTGTTAATACACTTTACGAAGTGTACTAAATTCTTCAAATTTCAAAGCCATATAAAGGAGCATACAAAAATTCAAACAAAAGAGAGACATTATAAGTGCACCATCTGTGAAAAATCCTTTGCAACAAAACAAGGTATAAAGACACATACATTGCTTCATACAGGAGAGAGACCTTACGGGTGTGCTACATGTGGAAAATCCTTTAACCAAATAGGTAGTATGAAGACACATTCATTGGTTCATACAGGGGAGAGACCTTACGAGTGTGCTACATGTGGAAAATCCTTTAAACGAATAGACAGTATGAAGAGACATACATTGGTTCATACAGGAAAGAGACCTTACGAGTGTGCTACATGTGGAAAATCCTTTAACCAAATAGGTAGTATGAAGACACATACATTGGTTCATACAGGAGAGAGACCTTACGAGTGTGCTACATGTGGAAAATCCTTTAACCAAATAGTTAGTATGAAGCTACATACATTGGTTCATACAGGAGAGAGACCTTACGAGTGTGCTACATGCGGAAAATCCTTTAAACGAATAGGCAATATGAAGAGACATACATTGATTCATACAGGGGAGAGACCTTACATGTGTGCTACATGTGGAAAATCCTTTAACCAAATAGTTAGTATGAAGCTACATACATTGGTTCATACAGGAGAGAGACCTTACGAGTGTGCTACATGTGGAAAATCCTTTAAACGAATAGGCAATATGAAGAGACATACATTGATTCATACAGGGGAGAGACCTTACATGTGTGCTACATGTGGAAAACCCTTTACACAAATAGGCAGTATGAAGACACATGCATTGGTTCATACAGGGGAGAGACCTTACATGTGTGCTACATGTGGAAAACCCTTTACAACAATAGGCAATATGAAGAAACATACATTGGTTCATACAGGAGAGAGACCTTACGAGTGTGCTACATGTGGAAAATCCTTTAACCAAATAGTTAGTATGAAGCTACATACATTGGTTCATACAGGAGAGAGACCTTACGAGTGTGCTACATGTGGAAAATCCTTTACACAAATAGGCAGTATGAAGACACATGCATTGGTTCATACAGGGGAGAGACCTTACATGTGTGCTACATGTGGAAAATCCTTTACACAAATAGGCAGTATGAAGACACATGCATTGGTTCATACAGGGGAGAGACCTTACATGTGTGCTACATGTGGAAAATCCTTTACACAAATAGGCAGTATGAAGACACATGCATTGGTTCATACAGGGGAGAGACCTTACATGTGTGCTACATGTGGAAAATCCTTTACACAAATAGGCAGTATGAAGACACATGCATTGGTTCATACAGGAGAGCGCCCTCATAAGTGCACTACATGTGAAACATCATTTACTTTCAAAAGTTCTCTGAAGAAACATACATTGATTCACAGTAGAGATACCTGAAAAGTGTATCACATGTAAAAAATATTTTGCATTAATAAGCTGTATAAAAAAGGATATTAAAAAGGTTCATATGGAAATACTATATGAACTACTAAACATGAATTTATTAAAGGTGCATGAGTGAAAATGTGTTGAAATTGGTTTTTAAGTACAATAAAATAATAAAATTAAGAATAAAATTAACAGTTTATTTAAACACAACCATAGATAAAACATACTCCCTTAGTAGATTTCTCATCCTTATGGAACAGCTGAAGACAATTTTATTGTTAGTTCTGTACGGTTTATGTAGAGTTTGTGTTTTGTTTACAATTTGTTTCCCGTTATTACAGCCATTTAAACCCTCGTTTAACCAAATAATACAATCTAATCATAAACAATAACTTGTCCCCTAGTTATATAACCAAACAGTAAAGCACAAATCAAGAAATTAACCCTAAAATAATAGAAACAAAGTTTCATCGACACTAGCGCCTTTGTGTCACGTACATGAACTAGACACGAAAAACGTGCTTCAAAATTTACAATGGGATGAGAAGTCTACTTGTGTTGGTTAGTCTATGACACAACTTTCAACAGCTTTAGCTTAGCTTTTTTTGTATGTGACAGAGTATTTTTGCAAACTGCTCTTTTTTTAAATTTATTACTCAAACAATATTGTTTGTATTAAATTGTGTGTTATGTTGTTACAACCCATTTTATGCACTTTTTTATCTGGCTCCTCCAAACGAAAAGGCCCAACCAAAAACCAAAAGTTTTTTATGTATACCATTAATTAATCATTTTAGTACTTTGAAAAAATTGTTTTGTTAGTCTGTAACCGGAATGATCTTGAAACTCCCCTCCATCCTCCTTATTACGATGTGTAATGCTAAGCAGAACCATGCTCCCACCCATGAGCGTTACATAATATGTGGACTTTTGACAATTTTAAGGACTGTAAATAAATGTGTTTTATTTATCATAGATTGTGCGCATCTTATGTGTTTTTGGTGATTTCCTATTAAATTATTAACTATCTTCTCTAATTAAGAACGAATCATTTTTAAGTTCCCTTCATCATTTTGTTATTTCCAATTATGAAGTCGCTAGGCAATAGGCATATCTTCATTAATATATACAAACATAATTAAAATAATAAATACTTAGTAAATTACCTTCCTGACAAGAATGGGGTGGTACAGGGAAAAGCAATATTAGCTACAATAATGATTGCATTTCACAAAAATATTTCCTTTAAAATGTGAGATACATTCCTAATAAATAAAAATCCCAAAGTACCCATGAAATTTTGAGAAAACTAAAAGTCACACCCCCATAATCTATACAGTAGACTTAAAATGTTCGTCATAATGAGAAGCCAAAACTATCCATCATTTAATAAATTGTCCTTTAAGGTCGTAATTCTTTTCTAAAGAGAAGTGTCCTTATACCTTATGTTTAAAATACCTCAGTTGTACTCATTTGTTTGTTATTGTTTTAATTTATTACCTTAATATTATCATTTGTTTATATTGCTGTATTCTGTTTTGTTTATTTCAGCCTAACTTAACCAATCAATAGTTTTCAATAACAATATTTTTAATGATTACTTAGATTTGCTCTTGCGGGTAAGGTAGTTAAGTATACTTTAGTGAAATGTTAATCGTTAGTATTAAGTAAAAACTGTAAATTGTGTCAAAATACAATATCCGAATAAGCAAACCACAACCATTTATTCTCCATAAAAATTAATTTAAAAATTAGTTTAAGGTCTTTTCTAATGTGAAAAATCCTTTACATCAATAGACAATATGAAGACACATACATTGGTTCATACAGAAGAGAGACCTTACAAGTGTGCTACATGTGGAAAATCATTTACACGATTAAACAGTATGAAGGAACACTTATTGGTTCATACAGGAGAGAGACCTTTCGAGTGTGCTACATGTGGAAAATCCTTTACAACAATAGGCAATATGAAGACACATACATTGGTTCATACAGGGGAGCGCCGTCATAAGTGCAATATATGTGAAACATCATTTACTGTCAAAAGTGATCTGAAGAAACATATTGCAAGTGCTCATAACTAAAAGCAGTATGAAGAAACATACATTGGTTCACAGTAGAGATACCTCAAAAGTGTACCACATGTAAAAAATTGTTTTGCATTCATAAGCTGTATAAAATAGGGTATTAAAAAGGTTTATGTGGAAATTCTATATAAACTAAACTAAACATGAATTTATTAAAGTTGCATGAGTGAAAATGTATTAAAATTGGTTTTTAAGTACAATAAAATAAAAAATTCAAAGGATCAAAGAGAAAATTAGCAGTTTATTTAAACACAACTTCTAACTGCTTTAGCTTAGCTTTTTTTATGTGGCATAATATTTTTGCAAACTGCTCTTTTTTAATTTAGTAGGCTACTCAAATAATATTGTTTGTATTAAATTGTGTGTTATGTTGTTACAACCCATGCACTTTTTCATCTGGCACTTCCAACGAAAAGGTCCAACCAAAAATCAATAGGGTTTTATGCATATCATTAGTTAATCATTTTGGTACTTTGAAAAAAATTATTTTTTGTTCGTTACCAAAACAATTTTTGAAACTCATCCTCCTTATTACGATGTGTAACGCTAAGCAGAACCACGCTCCCACCCATGATCGTAACGTAATTTGGGGACTTTTAACAGTTTTAATGACTGTAAATAAATATGTTTTATTTATCAAAGATTGTGCGTCTTATGTGTTTTTGGCAATTTTCTATTAAATGATTAGCTATCTTCTCTATTTAAGAACGAATCATTTTTATGTTCCCTTCATCATTTTGTTATTTCCAATTGTGTTAAAAAGCTGTAAATTGTGAACTAGCCTCTAAGTCGCTAGGCAATAGGCATATCTTCATTAATATATACAAACATAATTAAAATAATAAATACTAAGTAAATTACCTTCCTGACAAGAATGGGGTGGTACAGGGAAAAGCAATATTAGCTACAATAATTATTACATTTCACAAAAATATTTCCTTTAAAACGTGAGATACATTCCTTATAAATTTAAAAATCCCAAAGTACCCATGAAATTTTGAGAAAACTAAAAGTCACACCACCATAATCTATACAGTAGACATAAAATGTTCGTCATAATGAGAAGCCTTGCTCAAAACTATCCATCATTTAATAAATTGTCCTTTAAGGTCGTAATTCTTTTCTAAAGAGAAGTGTCCTTATACCTTATGTTTAAAATACCTCAGTAGTACTTATTTGTTTGTTATTGTTTTAATTTATTACCTTATTATCATTTGTTTATATTGCTGTATTCTGTTTTGTTTATTTCAGCCTAACTTAACCAATCAATAGTTTTCAATAACAATATTTTTAATGATTATTTAGATTTGCTCTTGCGGGTAAGGTAGTTAAGTATACTTTAGTGAAATGTTAATCGTTAGTATTAAGTAAAAACTGTAAATTGTGTCAAAATACAATATCCGAATAAGCAAACCACAACCATTTATTCTCCATAAAAATTAATTTAAAAAATTAGTTTAAGGTCTTTTTCTAAAGCTATTAAGCTAACAACGCTTCATTATCAATTAAACTCTATGTTATACCATAGATAAAACATACTCTCTCACTAGATTACTCATCCTTATAGAATAGCTGATGACAATTTTTTTCATTTTTGTTTATTCATTATTTTGCCTCCTGAACTGTAGTTTAAAGTATTATCTAGGTTACGTACCTTATACAGTCAAAACAGTTCTGATACAGTCACTAAAGGACGATGCGCATTTCAGAGCTTTTAAGCTCTATCTTCAGGTCCGAGGATACATTTGTCAATTCATCTTGCTGATTCGTCAAAATATTTAAACATTAAAAACACATAATTCATTACGTTTATACAGGTACTGTACATGTGCCGGCCGGCTATAGATCCCGACTCCGGGATCTATAGCCGGCCGGCACATGTACAGTACCTGTATAAACGTAATGAATTATGTGTTTGTGTTATGTGTTTTTAATGTTTAAATATTTTGACGAATCAGCAAGATGAATTGACAAATGTATCCTCGGACCTGAAGATAGAGCTTAAAAGCTCTGAAATGCGCATCGTCCTTTAGTGACTGTATCAGAACTGTTTTGACTGTATAAGGTACGTAACCTAGATAATCATTTTTGTTATTCTTTGCCTCCTTAAATTTAACTCATTTCCTTAATAGTTACTGTTTTGTAGGTCCAAAGTTTGTTTGTAAATTACCAAAAAATATTGTTAAAATTGTAAAACTTTAGGTAGATTTTCAAAGAAACTAAAGACTTGGCTTTTAACAGCTGTTAATTTTGAATGTTTAGTAAAAATCCTTGCATAAATAATTAATTCTGTGTTTTCATTATATTATACGTTGTCTTTTTGGTAGTTTAGAATTAATGTACATGAATCTTAGTAATTGTGAACTGAGATAATTATGTTTTTAATCTATCATTAAGTGGGTCAGTAATGTTAAGCTTTGTAAACTATTCCACCCATTATGTTGTCAATGTAATAGATAAGGAACTTCCACACAGGCTATGCCATTGAAGGTCCTAAATTTTCTTAAATGAGGATTTAATTGATTTTATATTGTTCTTAGGTTATATGAAGTAGCTTAAATTATATAAAGTGTAATTATTTTGTTGGAAGTTAATCTATGTTATTTCTTTTACGAATGAAAAAAAACAACAGTATCCATGTTATGTTATAGTTTTATCATTTGTATTGTTTTGTAATATTCCTTTCAAGAAAATAAATATATTCTTAATCTTATTCTTATTCCTGATCAAAATTTAAATTATTACTAGAAATTAAAATACCTGTCATGTAAAATACCTAATAAACCCAAAAATTCAAACCCGAAAACCAAATTCAACCCGACGAAGGGGTCATATTCAGATAAAAGTATTAATGTATTTTAACCTTAAGTTACAATTTTATTGTTAGTTCTGTACGGTAAACTCCTGAGTTCATGTTTTGTTTACAATTTGATTCTTGTTATTTCGGTCATTTAAAACCTTGTTAAACAAATAATACGAACTAAGTATAAACCAAAGCTCATCCCCTAGTTATACAGGGTGTTTCAGAATTCGTGTCGGATATTTTAGGGTATTATTCCTGGGTAAGAAACACATCCAAAAATCATATTTAAGTTGGCCGGAAGTCCTTAGTTACTCACACTGCCACCATTTTTTTTTTTTTACCTATTAATTGTTTTCTAAATAGTGGTAAAAGATACGTAATTTAAACTTTGCACAAATATTTATGACATCTAGACAAAACTACAACAAATTTACGAAAATTTTTACAATTCATGAAACAAAATGGCGACAATTTAAAAATATTATATTATATTTATATACTCTTTACAGAATGGTTATTTTTTTATTTCAAGTTGCTGCAGAAAGGGCTCTCTACATCAGGTTGTTGTGATTAGACAATGTTAGGATTTGAGGTATTTGTGTTGATAAGTGGGATTTTATTTTCAATGCTAAGCACTTCAGGCTTTAATGATACACATTTTGAATCAGATGTGATCTTTTTCAGAAGTGAAGATAGATGAGTTCAGACATAAGAGAATAGAATGTAATTTGATAACAAACTAGAGGCCCATGCTGCTCCGAAGCGTTTATATATATATATAAAATATCCGAGAAATGATCAAATTTATGATTTTGGATTGATTAATACAGGATCATGAGCTTAACTGATCAAATAATAGCTCAAATAAAAATCTATAATTTACTGATAATTTTGAGTCCAAAACATACAAAAACCCCAAACAATCCTGGAGCTATTGAGTTTTAATCATAGATAAACCTTAAGAATAATATTTTTATTTTGGTTCACCTTGCATTTGGTTGAAACTCCTCCGATTTGAATAACTTATAGCTTAAATAAAAGCTGGTATTTCACTAAAGGTTCTTCGATCAAAATATATAGGATTATATAGTTGTAACTGGTATGTATTAATACAAAACTTTTTCAAATTGTGAGTTTGTCCAGTAATTGCTTGATGTGAAATCTTGCGTGCATGCCTTCAATTTAAGACCTTAATCACAAAAATCGGTTGGGTAGAGAAGCAAAATAAACTTGAAAAAAACCTAATTTTTTCCATATATAAGATACTTATTTTGATAGTCTCTAATGTTGTACATTTTGAAAAAAAGCTATATATGTTATTTTGTAGCCCTAAAAAAATTAAATTCAGTAATTTTTTCTGGTAAACTACATTTTAATTATAGCAAACTTTTTTGTTGTAGGTCGAGACGGTAAAAAGAAATAAAACATCAGATTATATTGATTTGAGAGTTAATATAAATCAATAGAAGAATAAAGAAAGACATGAGAAATAGTAAACCCTCAAGTATATTGTAAAATTATAATTTGCATAGCAAGATTTGAAAACAAGAAGATTCAATGTTGAATGAGAGATACGTACGTAGCCTATTATGTAACTGCTGTACATTTGACAAGTCCTAAAAACAAATTTACTACTTACATTGATACAATTCTCTGTGATTTGTTGAGATTTCTGACAAGATACTGCTTATGAGATAAGATTCACCGTGATAAAATTGAAAAGTAGAAAATGTTAACATGCTTCAACCATTTTGCTCACAAGTGTCCAATATGTGGACAAAGCTGTTCTACTCGATCCGCAATGAAGGTCCATATAATGTATCACACTGGAGAGCGTCCCTTTAAATGTTTGACGTGTGAGAAAACATTTTTACAACTAAACAAAGTTAAGAGTCATTTGTTAATACACTTTAAAAAGTGTACTAAATTCTTTAAATTTCAAAGCCAAATAAAGGAGCATACAAAAATTCAAACGAGGGAGAGACCTTATAAGTGCACTATGTGTGAAAAATCCTTTGCAAGAAAACAAGATATAAAGAGACATTCATTGGTTCATACAGGAGAGAGACCTTATAAGTGTGCTACATGTGGAAAATCCTTTAAAACAATAGGCAATATGAAGACACATGCATTGGTTCATACAGGAGAAAGATCTTACGAGTGTGCTACATGTGGAAAATCCTTTAAAACAATAGGCAATATGAAGACACATTCATTGGTTCATACAGGAGAGAAACCTTACGAGTGTGCTACATGTGGAAAATCCTTTACACGAATAGGCAATATGAAGACACATACATTGGTTCATACAGGAGAGAGACCTTATGAGTGTGCTACATGTGGAAAATCCTTTAACCAAATAGGTAGTATGAAGCTACATACATTGGTCCATACAGGAGAGAGACCTTATAAGTGCACTAAATGTGAAAAGGCATTTACTTCCAAAAGTGATCTGAAGAAACATACATTTGTCCATACAGCAGAGAGGCCGTATAAGTGTAAAACATGTGGAAAATCCTACAAATCATTCGGCAGTTTGAAGCCACATACATTAGTCCATACAGGAGAGAGACCTTACATGTGTGCTACATGTGGAAAAACCTTTACAACAATAGGCAGTATGAAGACACATACATTGGTCCATACAGGGGAGAGACCTTACATGTGTGCTACATGTGGACAAACCTTTACAACAATAGGCAGTATGAAGAAACATACCTTGGTTCATACAGGAGAGAGACCTTATAAGTGCACTAAATGTGAAAAGGCATTTACTTCCAAAAGTGATCTGAAGAAACATACATTTGTCCATACAGCAGAGAGACCTTACATGTGTGCTACATGTGGAAAAACCTTTACAACAATAGGCAGTATGAAGACACATTTATTGGTTCATTCAGGGGAGAGACCTTACTTGTGTGCTACATGTGGAAAAACCTTTACAACAATAAGCAATATGAAGACACATACATTGTTTCATACAGGGGAGCGCCCTTATAAGTGCACTAAATGCGAAACATCATTTATTGTCAAAAGTGATCTGAAGAAACATATTGAAAGTGTTCATATAGGAGAGAGGTCCTATAAGTGTGCTGCATGTGGAAAATCCTTTACAACTAAAAGCAGTATGAAGAAACATACATTGATTCATACAGGTGAGAGACCTTACGAGTGTGCTACATGTGGAAAAACCTTTACAACAATAAGCAATATGAAGACACATTCATTGGTTCATACAGGGGAGCTCCGTCATAAGTGCACTATATGTGAAACATCATTTACTGTCAAAATTGATCTGAAGAAACATATTGCAAGTGTTCATAACTAAAAGCTGTATGAAGAAACATATAATGGTTCACAGTAGAGATACCTCAAAAGTGTACCATATGTAAAAAATGTTTTGCATTCACAAGCTGTAAAAAAAGGATATTAAAAAGGTTCATGTCAAATATCTATATAAACTAAACTAAACATGAATTTATTAAAGTTGCATGAGGAAAATGTATTAAAATTGATACAACATACAATGGTTCACAGTAGAGATACCTCAAAAGTGTACCACATGTAAAAAATGATTTGCATTCATAAGCTGTATAAAATAGTATATTTCGTACCAAGGGCCGAAAATGAGGTTTTTCCGGCTCGAGATAGTTTTTAAGTTCGAGACGAAGTCGAGAACTTAAATCGATCGAAAGCTGCAAAACCATTTCGGTCCGTGGTACGAACGCTATTTTTAACCACACTATACCCTATTACCACTATAATAATGCACACTGATAGTCAACACAACTACAACTTTAAGGTTATGTGAAGAAATAATTTGAGGAATCAGCAAAAATAAAAATAAATAGTTGCTAGGCAACGGCGACAATAACACAATTCTATTGCAATGCTATGGATTTTAATTTTGTATTTAAAATGCATTCATGTTTTAAGTAAGTAAGCGGACAGCTGATTTTGTGGCCCCGGCCTGTAAAAACCTGCTTGGTCCCCAAATTACGATGACAGCTGGCATGGCCAGCAAAACGTAACTTTCAGCCACCAATTAACGTATGTAATACAGCCAAAAACATCATAGTGTGGTGAAAAAGGATATTAAAAAGGTTCATGTGCAAATTCTATATGAACTAAACTAAACATGAATTTATTAAAGTTACATGAGTGAAAATGTATTGAAATTGGTTTTTAAGTACAATAAAATAAAAAAAAATAAAAGAATCAAAGAGAAAATTAACAGTTTATTTAAACAGAACTTCCAACTGCTTTAGCTTAGCTTTTTTTATGTGGCTGAATATTTTTGCAAACTGCTCTTTTTTAATTTAGTACCTACTCAAAAAATATTGTTTGTATTAAATTGTGTGTTATGTTGCTACAACCCATGCACTTTTTCATCTGGCACTTCCAACAAAAAGTTCCAACCAAAAATCAATAGGTTTTTATGCATATCATTAGTTAATCATTTTTGTACATTGAAAAAGATTTTTTTTGTTCATTACCGGAACGATTTTGAAACTCATCCTCCTTACAATTTTAATGACTGTAAAATAATGTGTTTTGTTCATCATAGATTGTGTGTCTTATGTGTTTTTGACAATTTCCTATTAAATGATTAGCTATCTTCTCTATTTAAGAACCAATCATTTTTAAGTTCCCTTCATCATTTCGTTATTTCCAATTGTGTTAAAAAGCTGTAAATTGTGAACTAGCCTCTAAGTTGCTAGGCAATAGGCATATCTTCATTAACACATTCACTGCTAATGATATGTAATACTTTTATAAATGGCTAAAAAACATTAACATTAACATGATCATGTTAATTGAGTGACAATATATCTTTAATTAAATAAATTTCATACTATAAATTGTGGATTAAAATATATTATGTAATTATATACATCATGTATTATATATCTGCTAATATACTTATGACGCACAAGTGCGTCATTAGCAGTGAACGTGTTAATATATACAAACATAATTAAAATAATAAATACTAAGTAAATTACCTTCCTGACAAGAACGGGGTGGTACAGGGAAAAGCAATATTAGCTACAATAATGATTGCATTTCACAAAAATATTTCCTTTAAAATGTGAGATACATTCCTTATAAATAAAAATCCCAAAAAACCCATGAAATTTTGAGAAAACTAAAAGCCACACCCCCATAATCTATACAGTAGACTTAAAATGTTCGTCATAATGAGAAGCCTTGCTCAAAACTATCAATCATTTAATAAATTGTCCTTTAAGGTCGTAATTCTTTTCTAAAGAGAAGTGTCCTTATACCTTATGTTTAAAAATACCTCAGTTGTACTTATTTGTTTGTTATTGTTTTAATTTATTACCTTAATATTATCATTTGTTTATACTGTATTGCTGTATTCTGTTTTGTTTATTTCAGCCTAACTTAACCAATCAATAGTTTTCAATAACAATATTTTTAATGATTACTTAGATTTGCTCTTGCGGGTAAGGTAGTTAAGTATACTTTAGTGAAATGTTAATCGTTAGTATTAAGTAAAAACTGTAAATTGAGTCGAAATACAATATCCGAATAAGCTAACAACGCTTCATTAAACTCTATGTTCTACCATGGATAAAACATACTCTCCCACTAGATTTCTCATCCTTATAGAATAGCTGAGGACATCTTTTTTTATTTTTTTTTCTTTGCCTTATTAAATGTAACACATTTCCTTAATAGTTACTGTTTTGTAGGTCCAAAGTTTGTTTGTAAATTACTAAAAAATATTGTTAAAATTGTAAAACTTTAGGTAGATTTTCAAAGAAACTTAAGACTTGGCTTTTAACAGCTGTTAATTTTGTTTGTTTAGTAAAAATCCTTGCATCTATATATTAATTTGAAATTGTTTTTCTTTGTCATAGCTATTTTGAGAGAACAGCTGCGTGTAGAAACTCGGTAGGGGTGTCTAAAGAAAGGTCTTGGTTTGTAGATGAGCCATCAAAAAAAAAAAAACATGGTGAATTCCCTTGGGGCTCTGCCCCAGTGGCCTTTAAATTCCCATCCCATGTTATTCTTATGGAGGAAAAAGGGGTTTTTTTCACAGCTAATTTGAGAGAATGGCTGGGCATAGAAACCTGGCAGGGGTCTCTAAAGAAAGGTATTGGTCTGTAGATGAGCCATCAAAAGAGGAACGAGGTAAATTCCCTTGGGGTTCTGCTCCAGAAGCCTTTAAAGTTGCCTCTTCAGATTTGTTTACATTACGACCATATGCATAATTCTACACTACTTTTTAATGAAACAGCTGTTAATATTTAAGTTGTGATTTATTGAATTTGTCATAATGAAGTACAGTATTTGCAATGGGGTTTTTTGATTTTAAATTGGATTTTCTTCTGCATCGTGTCATGTTTTGCAATATAATGTTCTATTACCAAATCAGTGGAAAATCATAATATCACAGTAACTCTTAAAATTATTTCTTTTGGAGTTAACTTATATCTATTGTATGGGTTGGTTTCTCCCTTTTTTACCACTTCTTGGAGATTGTACGTAGGTGATATTCGTTGGCATATTGCATCTGTATACGAAACTTGGATTGGTGTAATTATTACAATGGAAAAGATCGAGGAATCCTGGACAATTTGATATGAGCTAAAAATAAAACTGAATCAACACTGTTCTAAATTTCTTGAGCAATCATTGAAATAATTGATTTGCAAACAATGGAAACATAGAAAAAGTCATAGAACACAACCAAGTAGAAGAAATAGAAATGTTTTTTTTTGTTTCATTTATAATTGTTGTCATAGACAACCTAATGCGGATATGAGAGTGAAAAATTTGTAGAAAACACTAAAAAACAAGATAAGCTTTTTGAAAAAAGATGATATTTACAAAAGATTTTGATTAAATCTAACTGTTGTGTAGATCGTGAGTATTTCCATAATCTTTGAATCGCCTGTAATGCTTCGCAATAGCTCGAATTCGAGCAACAGGTACACTAGTAAATAACTAATTCTGTGTTTTCATTACATTATACGTTGTCTTTTTGGTAGCTTAGAATTAATGTACATGAATCTTAGTAATTGTGAACTGAGATAATTATGTTTTTAATCTATCAATAAGTGGGTCAGTAATGTTAAGCTTTGTAAACTATTCCACGCATTTTGTTGTCAATGTAATAGATAAGGAACTTCCACACAGGCTATGCCATTGAAGGTCCTAAATTTTCTTACATGAGGATTTAATTGATTTTATATTGTTCTTAGTTTTATATGAAGTAGCCTAAATTATATAAAGTGTAATTATTTTGTTGCAAGTTAATCTATTTTATTTCTATTACGAATAAAAAAAACAACAGTATCCATGTTATGTTATAAGTTTTAACTACAACAAATTTACGAAAACAAATGGCGACAATTTAAAAATATTATATTATATTTATAAAACGTTAAATATATTTATATAGGCTACTCTTTACAGAACATATGGTAATTTTTATTTTAAGTTGCTGTAGAAAGGGTTCTCTTCATCAGGTTGCTGTGATTAGACAATGTTAGGATTTGAGGTATTTGTGATGATAAGTGGGATTTTATTTTCGATGCTAAGCACTTCAGGCTTAATGATACACATTTTGAATCAGATGTGATCTTTTTCAGAAGTGATGATAGATGAGTTCAGACATAAGAAAATAGAATCTAATTTGATAACAAACTAGAGGCCCATGCTGCTCCGAAGTGTTTATATATATATATATATAATATTCAAGAAATTATCAAATTTATGATTTTGGATTGATTAGTACAGGATCATGAGCTTAACTGATCAAATAATAGCTCAAATAAAAATCTATAATTTACTGATAATTTTGAGTCCGAAACATATTAAAAAAACCCCAAACAATCCTGGAGCTATTGAGTTTTAATCATAGATAAACCTTAAGAATAATATTTTTTATTTTGGTTGTTCACCTTGCGTTTGGTTGAAACTCGTCCGATTTGAATCTATATATATAATACGCTAAGCCGATTTTTGTGAACAGAACTACTCCCTCATTTTTGGACCGATTTTGATGATTAAAGTGTCAAAAAAATTGCCCTGATCTGTAGTTTTGCAAAGTGTTTTTCGTTTTTTGATATCTTTATTAGTTTGGTCAGGATCTTCCATCAAAGTTGGGTTTTCTCCCATAAGATTAACATGGAGGAATCTAAATATTTATTGGAAACTTTGTCTCCATTAATTTGAGAGAACGGCTGGGCGTAGAAACTTGGTAGAGGTGTCCAAAGAAAGGCCTTGGTCTGTAGATGAGTTATCAAAAGAAAAACGAGGTAAATTCGCTTAGGGCTCTGCCCCAGAAGCCTTTAAAGATCCCTCCACAGATTTGTTTACATTTTGGTCATGTGGATAATACTTTTTAATAAAACAGCTGTTAATTTTAAAATTGTGTTTTAATTAACGCACATTTATTGGGAGTTACTGAATTGTTCAAAAGAAGTATTTGCAATGTTATTTTCTGATTTTTAAATTGATTTTTCTCTGTATCATTTGTGTTGCAATATAAAGTTCCATTACGAGATGAGTGGAAAATCATTTTATCACAATAACTCCTACAATTGTATCTTATTGAACTATCTTATATCTATTTTACGGGTTGGTGTCTGCCTTTTTCACACCTTTTCCCTATATTTTATCATATTATTTTAGACAGTTCATCATGAGATTATTGTCATACATACTTTCAATCATTGGAAAAATCTTCGATTGTGTAATACAATACAGTTGAACCTCTATAAGACGAATTTCAAGGGGTAGAGGAAAAATTCGTACTATAGAGGTATTCTTAATAAAGAGGGTCGTTTTATCGAGGTTTAATGCTGCTGTTATTCTTCTTATAGAGGTTTCTCCTCGCTCCAAAGTTTCTCCAAACAATGACTGAGGAAGGAGGAGGGATGGGTGGGGGTTTCATGTTGAGACAAGCTTCTGTTTGTTTTGAAAACTACGTACTATGGAGGTTAAGATTATGATAAATTCGTCTTATAGAGGTCACGTTCGTCTTGTAGAGGTTTTGTGCTAAGCATATTCATTGTATAGAGGTTAATCAGTCCTAGCCCATGTCACAAACAAATTCGTCTTATGGAGGTTTTTAACTTAATTACTACGTTGTATAGAGGTGTTTTTAGCATTGACCTATATGAAAGTGTCAAGGGGATTTTAAAAAATTCGTCTTATCGAGGAATTCGTTTTATCGAGGTTCGTACAAACGAGGTTCAACTGTACAAAATAATACAAGTGCAGAAGGGCACGGTGCCCTTACATACCATACATATTTTATTAAATATGTACATATTTAAGCCGTGTACATATTTTATTAAATTAATTGTGGTTTACAGCAACTGGATAAAACATTTTACAATATTTATGTAGAAATATGTGCATATTTAGAAAGTAATTAAGCTGGAAAACTGCAATATACTGCAGACTTTTCAGAGAGGTTACTTCGATGTATTCATTAAGCTTAGTGAAAACATAATATAGATATGTGTAAAAATAAGAACTTGAACTCTTAGAGAGCCTTTGAATGTTATTAGACTAACGAAAAGGGTTGTGCATGTTTAATAGCGCTACTCAGCAACAAAACCATTTAATTTACTGTATCTCTAAAATATATATTCTTAAAGTGCACTTAGCAGCAACCTAAAAAATCTATGTAACTTACCCATATAATATAGTTACAAAATGCTCAAACTCGCATTGTGACATTTATAATTCGGCTTTACATTTCTCCAACAGAAAATTCATCTACGGAAGAATTTTATTGTGCTCTTACTATGTCATTTGCATTATTTGTTGCCAATGGAGCTGCATGACCATATAAATGAGGAGGCCCCTAACAGTTCAAGAATAAAAGCCAACCTCACTTCAAGTATATTCCACTACACCTAACATTCTGTAGATTATATTGACAACTTTATGTAACTGATAAGACTGAGAAAACTAACTGACATCCCCCATGTCAAGGAATTCCAGCTATAACAGTAACACCACAACCAATTTCTCAAAACTGTGCTAGAGTGTTATTAATCGGCACAGAAGTACGATATGAACTGACGCGACGTGACGAAGGAAAAATCAAACTTACACTGTAACGGATATACCTCCCTTTGAAGTTAGAACGTGTCTTCCCAACAGACAGATTTTTTTGTTCAAATAAAATCATAGATTAATCTGCATTACACTGATGAAATCACGGAAGTGTTTAACTACAAAAGATCCACCAATACGATTTTAATACTATTTAAAGGTTCTTCCAAAGGAAGAGATACCAGATAGCATACTAACAACTACGATGACGTAGCCTACAGTATGGGAAATATTTTATATTTTATTCATTGAATGATCAACCATATTTGGTAACTAACGAAATTAATATCATTATTGTTTTACACTTATCAATGCTAAATGCTCAAAATATGTATTATTTCACTCAATTTATCGCAGTTAGATGAATTAGCGTAAGCCTCGAAAGTAACCGTCGATTTCGACGGGTTTCACCTAGTAACTAATAGCTTAAATGAAAGCTGGTATTTCACTAAAGGTTCTTCGATCAAAATATATAGGATTATATAGTTGTAACTGGTATGTATTAATACAAAATTTTTCAAATTATAAGTTTGTCCAGTAATTGCTTGATGTGAAATCTTGCGTGCATGCCTTCAATTTAAGACCTTAATCACGAAAATCGTTCGGGTAGAGAAGCCAAATAAACTCGAAAAAACCAAATTTTTTCCATATATAAGATACTTATTTTGATAGTCTCTAATGTTGTACACTTTGAAGAACAGCTATATATGTTATTTTGTAGCCCTAAACAAATTAAATTCAGTAATTTGTTCTGGTAAACTACATTTTAATTATAACAAACTTTTTTGTTGTAGGTCGAGACGGTAAAAAGAAATAAAACATCAGATTATATTGATTTAAGAGTTAATATAAATCAATAGAAGAATAAAGAAAGACACGAGAAAAAGTAAACCCTCAAGTATATCGTGAAATTCTAATATGCATAGCAAAATTTGAAAACAAGAAGATTCAATGTTGAATGAGTGATACGTACGTAGCCTATCATGTAACTGCTGTACACACAAGTCCTAAAAACAAATTTACTACTTACATTGATACAATTCTCTATAATTTGTTGAGATTTCTAACAAGATCTCCTTATATCTTATATGATAAGATTCACTGTGATAAAATTGAAAAGTAGAAAATGTTAACTAGCTTCAAACATTTCGATCACAAGTGTCCAATATGTGGACAAAGTTGTCCAAATCGATCTGCAATGAAGGTCCATATATTATATCACACTGGAGAGCGGCCCTTTAAATGTTTGACATGTGAGAAAGCATTTTTCCGACTAAAGCAAGTAAAGAGTCATTTGTTGATACACTTATGGAAGTCTCCTATAAGTGGGGAATCCATTCAACTCCAAAGCCATATGAAGGAGCATTCGCAAATTCATACGAGACCCTATAAGTGCACTGAATGTGGAAAATCCTTTACAAAAATAGGCAATATGAAGACACACACTTTGGTTCATACAGGAGAGAGACCTTACGAGTGTGCTACATGTGGAAAATCCTTTACAACAATAGGCAATATGAAGACACACACATTGGTTCATACAGGAGAGAGACCTTACGAGTGTGCTACATGTGGAAAATCCTTTACACGAATAAACAGTATGAAGAAACATACATTGGTTCATACAGGAGAGAGACCTTACAAGTGTGCTACATGTGAAAAATCCTTTACAACAATAGGCAGTATGAAGAGACATACATTGGTTCATACTGGGGAGAGACCTTACGAATGTGCTAATTGTGGAAAAACCTTTACAACAATAGACAATATGAAGAAACATACATTGGTTCATACAGGAGAGAGACCTTACAAGTGCGCTACATGTGGAAAATCCTTTACACGAATAGGCAGTATTAAGTCACATACATTGGTTCATACAGGAGAGAGACCTTACGAGTGTGCTACATGTGGAAAATCCTTTACAACAATAGGCAATATGAAGACACACACATTGGTTCATACAGGAGAGAGACCTTACGAGTGTGCTACATGTGGAAAATCCTTTACACGAATAAACAGTATGAAGAAACATACATTGGTTCATACAGGAGAGAGACCTTACAAGTGTGCTACATGTGAAAAATCCTTTACAACAATAGGCAGTATGAAGAGACATACATTGGTTCATACTGGGGAGAGACCTTACGAATGTGCTAATTGTGGAAAAACCTTTACAACAATAGGCCATATGAAGACACATACATTGGTTCATACAGGAGTGAAACCTTACAAGTGTGCTACATGTGGAAAATCCTTTACACGAATAAACAGTATGAAGACACATGCATTGGTTCATACAGGGGAGCGCCCTCATAAGTGCACTACATGTGAAAAATCATTTACTTTCAAAAGTTCTCTGAAGAAACATACATTGATTCACAGTAGAGATACCTGAAAAGTGTATCACATGTAAAAAATATTTTGCATTCATAAGCTGTATAAAAAAGGAGATTAAAAAGGTTCATATCGAAATACTATATGAACTAAACTAAACATGAATTTATTAAAAGTGCATGAGTGAAAATGTGTTGAAATTGGTTTTTAAGTACAATAAAATCAAAAATGCAAAGAATCAAAGAGAAAATGTAACAGTTTATTTAAACACAACTTCCAACTGCTTTAGCTTAGCTTTTTTATGTGGCATAATATTTTTGCAAACTGCTCTTTTTTTTATTTAGTACTCAAATAATATTTTTTGTATTAAATTGTGTGTTATGTTGTTACAACCCATGCACTTTTTCATCTGGCACTTCCAACGAAAAGTTCCAACGAAAAATCAATAGGTTTTTATGCATATCATTAGTTAATCATTTTGGTACTTTGAAAAAATTTATTTTTTGTTCGTTACCGGAACGATTTTGAAACTCATCCTCCTTATTACGATGTGTAACGCTAAGCAGAACCATGCCCCCACCCATGAGCGTAACGTAATATGGGGACTTTTAACAATTTTAATGACTGTAAATAAATGTGATTTATTTATCATAGATTGTGCGTCTTATGTGTTTTTGGCAATTTCCTATTAGCTATCTTCTCTATTTAAGAACTAATCATTTTTAAGTTCCCTTCATCATTTTGTTATTTCCAATTGTGTTAAAAAGCTGTAAATTGTGAACTAGCCTCTAAGTCCCTAGGCAATAGGCATATCTTCATCTATATAAATAAAATTAGAGTTTTGTCTGTACTTTGCTCAGAATTATACACTTTTAGGTTATTTTTACGTTTCATACATTAAAGAAGCAGAAACGAGTCTTATCTCTATTTCTGTCTGTATGTCTGTCTGTCTGTCTGTCTGTCTGTCTTTCCCTTTGTCTGTAACACTCAAGATGGCATTTTACGCAATCTTCTCCGTGAAAACCAGAGTACCTATCAAGATCCAAGTCATTTTAATGTATTCACTGGATTGGCGAGAGTGTCTTTAGTGATTTAAATATAGCCTCACTACTTAGTAAATAAAATTACGGACGTTCAAAAATGCAGTTTTGTGCGATTTTTGTCAAATTTTCGTTCAATTTTTATCACATAATCGTCTATGAAATAACGAACAGCTGCTCGGATCAAGATTATTTTTTCTAGCTGTCAATGATATGTTTACAAATACCGCAACCATTTCGAATCACGTTTTTAAAGCAAATCCCAACCAAGTGAGATTAAAAACGTTTTTCTTACATAACGGATTTAATTAATCGCAAGTGCAATAATATAGTCTAATAGTGTAACCGTAAATGAAATTAAATAACTAGACATCGTCCAAATCGGAACCAGAAATTCTTTAAGTATAAAATGTTTCTTGAGTTTTGACAACCAGATAGAAGACCTTGAATCAGTGTTGTATAGGGCTGGGACACTGAAATGATCGTCGCCAATAGCTTACAAAAAAGGTTTCCACTCATTGACGGCGCTTCAATGGCGGTTGTGTAAAGTGTAAAGTAAAAAATCACAACTGCAGTGGGTGATTGTAACAGAGGTTTAACAGAGGAAGTGCTAAACTCGCTTTTCCATAGAATACATGGCCTACCTACTTAAGAAATATAATTACAAATGACCAAAACCCCAACATTGTGTGATTTTCGTCACATTTCCTTCTAATGTTAATAGATATACTAATCATTGTTTAGAGAATGCGTAATCTATTAAATAACAAAAAGTTGTTTGGGTAAGGTTGTTTTTTTTTTCAAACTGACACCGATAAGTTTACGCTATAACTTTTTACGAGAAAATCCAAAAGCAAGAGATCAATAACCTCGGGACTAGATATTATTGTATTTAATTGGTCGGATGTACTATAGTTCTTAGGTAGGTTCTTACGTAGGTACTGGTTCTTTTCCTTAGAACCGTTGGTAGCTGCTAGAATCATTTTTACGTAGGTACCAACACATCACTGTAGTTTACAAATTAGTTATCGTTGGTGTGGCACCTTATTTATTAGAGCCGTCCGTATTCAATTTAAGTGATGTCTTAACTCTGTATAAGTTTTGCTTTTTCTGTCTGTATTCCAAATCTTAGCTTACCCGGTATGCTAAGAAAATGATAACCTATTTGAGTAAAACATTTGTTGGGCAAACCATCATGAATTGTTTACGCCTTTATATTGTTTATGTATCAATAGTTCGTGGCCTTTTTTGGATTGTTGTGTGTATGTCTGTTGGTAACGCATTAATGTCCTTATTTTTCAGTGTTTCACGGAATGGACAAGAGCACCTTTGATACTGAAAATGTCAACCGGAATAAAGTGTTAAATGGTGAGGTTGAGGTAGTACTTTAAATACGTTTAAGTTAACCGATGTGGAAAGTAACTTTCAATTATAGGCCTACTTTAGGGCTACGCTTCATGGATCTATAAAACATTTTTTAGTTTAATCATTGGACATATGGACCATAACAATCCGGGTGACATTTAATTGCGAAGCATTTATTTTGGGTTGAACCGTCAGATACTGTATTTGCGAAGGGTTATATATAATAGTTTTGCCAGCATATCTGCAAATATGCAAACTAACTGCTGTTCTTAATCTTAATATAAGAAGGTTTCAACTGACTACTATAAGATCCCCGTGCGTAGAACGGGCACACAGCTAGTTAATATATACAAACATAATTAAAATAATAAATACTAAGTAAATTACCTTCCTGACAAGAATGGGGTGGTACAGGGAAAAGTAATATTAGCTACAATAACTATTGCATTTCACAAAAATATTTCCTTTAAAACATGAGATGCATTCCTTATAAATAAAAATCCTAAAGTACCCATGAAATTTTGAGAAAACTAAAAGTCACACCCCCATAATCTATACAGTAGACTTAAAATATTCGTCATAATGAGAAGCCTTGCTCAAAACTATCCATCATTTAATAAATTGTCCTTTAAAGTCGTAATTCTTTTCTAAAGAGAACTGTCCTTATACCTTATGTTTAAAATACCTCAGTTGTACTTATTTGTTTGTTATTGTTTTAATTTATTACCTTAATATTATCATTTGTTTATATTGCTGTATTCTGTTTGGTTTATTTCAGCCTAACTTAACCAATCAATATTGTTTCTTCATAATATTGCCAAACGGCTTAATCTTTTTTAAAATAAACTTATCACACACTTTTTAAAAAATTTCTATATTTCGGCATTAGCCTTCTTCAGGAACAAACACAATAACAAATAGAAGTGTTTACCACTCTGAATCATTATATATTAACCAATCAATTAACCAATCAATAGTTTTCAATAACAATATTTTTAACGATTACTTAGATTTGCTCTTGCGGGTAAGGTATTTACGTATACTTAAGTGAAATGTTAATTGTTAGTATTAAGTAAAAACTGTAAATTGAGACAAAATACAATATCCGAAAATAAGCAAACTACAACTATTTATTCTCCATAAAAATTAATTTAAAAAATTAGTTTAAGGTCTTTTTCTAAAGCTATTAAGCTAACAACGCTCCATTATCAATTAAACTCTATGTTCTACATGGTTCTACCATCGATAAAACATACTCTCTCACTAGATTTCTCATCCTTATAGAATAGCTGAAGACAACTTTTTTCATTTTTGTTCTTTGCCTCCTTAAATTTAACACATTTCCTTAATAGTTACTGTTTTGTAGGTCTAAAGTTTGTTTGTAAATTACCAAAAAATATTGTCAAAATTGTAAAACTTAAGGTAGATTTTCAAAGAAACTTAAGACTTGGCTTTTAACAGCTGATAATTTTGAATGTTAAGTAAAAATCCTTGCATAAATAATTAATTCTGCGTTTTCATTATATTATACGTTGTCTTTTTGGTAGTTTAGAATTAATGTACATGAATCTTAGTAATTTTGAACTGAGATAATTATGTTTTTAATCTATCAATAAGTGGGTCAATAATGTTATGTTATATTTTTATCATTTGTATTGTTTTTTAATATTCCTTTCAATAAAATAAATACATTTTTATTCTTATTCATATTCCTGATCAAAATTTAAACTATTACTAGAGGTTAAAATACCTTAATCTGTCTTGTGATTAATGTCACCGTTGGGCGGCGATCGGTTTCAACCCGACGAAGTGGTCATCTTCAGATGAAGGATTGCGGTATTTGAACCTTTAGTTACAATTTTATTGTTATAGGTCGGCCGCTTAGAAAACGACCTCCTCCAGCATTGGTTTAGCATTAGCGCGCAGGTCGTTTTCTAAGCGGCCGACCTATAGTTCTGTACGGTGTACTGTTGAGTTCATGTTTTGTTTACAATTTGTTTCTTGTTATTTCAGTTATTTAAAACTTCGTTAAACAAATAATACGACCTAACCATAAGTCATAACTCGTCCCCTAGTTATATAACCAAACGGTAAAGTACAAATCGAGTAATTAACGATAAATAATAGAAACAAAATTTCATCGACACTACCGCCCAGTGTCACCGTACTTGTGAAAAACAAGCTTCAAAATTTATAATAGGATGACAAATCTTCTTGTATTGGTTGGTCTATGGTTCTACAAGGTAGTCTAGAATTAAAATGGAAAACTTTATGTTTTGAAGGTAAAAAATGTGGAAACTCAATTTTTAACCCAATAAATCCCGTTCCCATAAATTAAGTGGTCCGATGCTGGCACATGGTTCAATTGGTATCGACCCAAAAATCGCTTCACTGCCAAAGCTAAAGACCCGAAGTATCCCACAAACCATGACTTCAGGAGAGGTCAAAACTTCAGAGGTCAGGATGACTGCATCTTGATAGCCATAAGCGGCCCACACACTACACGTGCATTGCACGCCGTGCCAAAAACAGACGAAACGTGCCAGTGTGTGGTGAACACCGTGCAAGCACGGCGTGCATTGGCATGGCACGGTGGAAATCAAAACGAGTTTGATTTTTGACGTGCCGTGCCAAAGCACGCCGTTTTGACGTGCTAGTGTGTAGGCGATCCCCGTGCCACGTGCTGGTAGTGCAACCACTTTTGACAGGATTTGACCCTATTTAGTCCTTTCTTACTAGTGAATCGACGGCATTTTTTCTTTGGCACGACCATCGAGATTAACACAATTGATTGAGATTGACACAATGGAACGCGCGCCGTATGCCACAAGTAATCCAAGACGCAGTCATTGATCTCTATATAATACTGTATATAATAAAGCATACATCCTCCACCATAGTACAGTATTGTGAACCAAGTGCCCTGCCGGCGTATATCCATACGGCAGCGAGGTGCAAGGTCTGGACGAACCTTAGGCGGCTTAGTGCTGTGTACTGTAGTTTCTATTTTTAATGATTAATTAATTATGTCCTTAAAACATGCCATGTGTTTGTGTGTTCTGCATTTAATTTGTACGAACAGACGATGATATTTAGCACGTTGCAGGCTACACTGAAGATCAAGTTTGTGGGCAACAACGTGCCGTGCCAGAGCACGGCGTGCCAATAAAAAAATGGCACGGCGTGCAATGCACGTGTAGTGTGTAGGCCGCTTAAAGACAGACTGACTGACTTCAACTATTGGATGGAGATTAATCGATGGAGTAGGCCTATATGAGGTCATGGCTATAACCTCCTCTGTGTGATCGTGATAGTGTGTTCTCCCAACCGTTATGATGAATAGGCAGAAAAAATATAGCTGTTAGAATACGTCTTAAGTTACTTTTTTGACAAGTTTTATTTTTGTTTCAATATTTCTCTATTTAAAATCAAAAGAACAACCGGTTTTCAATGACTCATATTTTTTTTATAAAGAATCACAGAGGACGTAGTGAATAAATAAAAAAAAAACTATGACTAAACCTAAGCTTACTTTCTTTACCGAGATGTAAGAAATAATTCAATGGTACACTTAAGTGGTGTCTAACACCAGTTGCTGTTGTCAAGAGCAAATTCTAAACTCTATAAAGCAAAGTAGCCTATAAACAATTTTGCAAACTATCTTATGACCTCACTAATCATCATATCCACAGACCATGTGACGCACATACGCGACAGACATTTATATTAACATTTATAGTAATCGTTGTTCCTCCTCGCTATTACGTACTACGTACTACTGCGCTTACGATGTAGGAAACCCCTGTGCGCTACTGCTGTCCAACACCACTAAGTGGTCATCGCCGTTCGGGCTCTTCCTTGTCCGTTTTAAATACATTTCCGTCCCAACATACTAGATATAAAGGTGCACGGTTGTCCCATAAAATTGTATCCTCTGTATCTCATTTCTCTGTGGTTTCTTATAGGTTTCAGATACTTTTTTATTGCCTCCTGCCCTATATTTGTTCAGTTCTAAAACTAAAATACCCCCACCGCAGCAAACCTGCAGACTAAGCAAATTTCCATTTGCCTGAATCTATTTTAAATTTAATCTTATTTTAATAACATTAGGCTTAACGAGTACCTAGGTTTGCTGCTATAGGGAAGCTAAAGTGTGTTTTTTGGTGAAATACAAGTAGTTTAGTATAAAATAATCAAATTTGCAAAGTTTAACCAAAATATTTTCATAAACAAGCAAATTACAGCATTTTATAATATTCTCAATAGAAATAACATTAAGATTTTAAATTTGCAATTTTTGAATTTTTTCCCTAAGCATTAACCGTAAAAAAAACACTTTGGTATACTAAATTATTAGATTTTTAAGAGCTTTAAAATGGTCTAGAGAGAACTTGGGAAATTTTGTGTTTTTAAGGCCAGAAATGTAAAAAGAACTAATTTTACCCCCTTAAAACCCCCCGTAAAATAAAAAATAAAAAAAATAAAATTATAAATATGTCTGTTATTGATCAAACCATCCTCACACTTCCTGAAATGATGACATTATTAACGCAGATTGAGGCAATTCTCAATTCGAGACCTCTTACACCTCTCTCAACTGATCCTCAAGAATTAGATGTACTTACTCCAGGACATTTCTTGACAGTTGCACCATTAGTTTCCATCCCTGAACCATGTCTACTCGATGTGTCGCCTAATCAACTTGCGCGTTGGCAACAAGTCCAACAATTTTCACAACAGCTATGGAAACGATGGAGCCTAGAATATTTGCATCATCTCCAGCAACGTCACAAGTGGACAAAATCTACTGCAAACATCAAGATTGGTGATCTAGTTCTCTTGAAAACCTCAACGCTACCATGCCATTGGCCAACCGGCCGTATCAGTGAATTACTTCCTGGGAAGGACAACATTGTCCGTGTGGTAAAAGCATCGATCTCTATTATTACTACAGCTTATTTGTTGTTTTAAAGGGGTTTTAATGGATAGTTTAACGTTATTTAGGGTTTTTAATTCAAAATTTTAAATAAATTGTTAAATAACTCAAACTATATCATAGATACGGGATTTTTCCTTGATATTTTTTTCAAGCGGATGAAGTTGGTAATACAATGCCGTTTAGAGCCTTGTTTCTATCGTGTCTAGTTCACGAGATATGAGCGATTTTCTAGAACGCGTCTCAGAGCACCTTGCCTTCCCCCCCTCCCCCCCAAGTTGTGCACCTGCTGGGAGGGCGACAACATCGGTTTTTGTCATCTCCAAGATGCCCCCAACAACAATCAAAAGTCAAAAAGAGTTACACCATGGTTACACTTTCAGTGCATACTCAACCCCCTAATAATGGTGTTCGCTCGAGCCGTGGTGGACCAGGTGGGCGGTGGCGGTCTGTCGGCAAGGGTTAATGTTCAGTCAGTTCGAGTTCAGTTCAGTGTTCGTTCAGTGCAGTCGCGCAGTCGCAGTGTGCAGTGATGCGTGTAGCAGTGATAGGGGCCGGAGCATCAGGACTTTGTGTCGCTCGTCATCTCACTGTAAACAGCAACTTTTCATATGTTGTGTATGAGCAGACAGGAAATGTCGGAGGTACCTGGGTATACACTGAGGCTACCGGCTCTGATGATTATGGGTTACCGGTTGCCTCGGCCATGTACAAAAATTTGAGGTTAGTCTGTACAACTTATTTGTTATCATAGCCTAAGTTAGGCCCATTTATTTATAACTTTTTTTGCTTTTAGTTGTACAGTAGAACTTTGATAACAAAGCTCTCATAGGTATTATAAAATAAGCAGACTTGTTATCAAGGTTGACTTCTTATCGAGGTTTCCAAAAATATGTGATGGGGTAAAATAATTTGAAGGGATTTGATTATGACACTTGTTGTCAAGGGTGACTTGTTATCAAGGGTCTTGTTATCGGTGTTCTACTGTATTTTAAGTTGGGAAACCTTTATGAAACAGTCAATGTTTGTCTACTCCTAGGGTTGTTGGCGCGACCCAAATGGGGCCATGATAAAAATCACATTGGTTTGTTTTGAGAAAGTAATATCTCTATATTAACTAAGGCTTAGGGCCTAATTGATTTTTTGCATATAGGCCTACAGTAAACTTTTTAATAGTGTTGTCACTGACATCTTACCACTAGTCTGACGGGACCAATTTCACAAATAAATAAGTTACCCTGCTGCAGCAAACCTGCATAGCCTACTAAGTTAAACTTAACATGTTATTAATTCTGAGCAATTACTTGGTCAACCTCAAACTTTTTCATATTTTACTACAGTCATAAGGATGTTCTCAGAAAACAAGAAACATATAATTCGAGCCCTGCAAGGCTCAACAAAAATATCTTACAGGTTGCCGAGCGATAAGAAGGTTCAAAGTCCACGCGATAACAGTGGCTTCCGGGAGACGCGCCCGTTATGTTAGGTTAACATATAATACCTAACCTAACATACCTAACCTAACCTTGCGGGGCTTGAATTAATATGTTTCTTGTTTTTCTGAGAACATCCTTATGACCGTAGTAAAATATGAAAAAGTTTGGGGTTGACCAAGTAATTGCTCAGAATTAAGTTACCAGTTATGTTCGCTACCGCACTTATGCGACGATGTGGTCATTGCCACATTCTGAGTTACATTATACCATTACACATAAACCAGGTGTCACTTGGTCAACAGTAGGCCTATGCAAGTAAAAAAATTTTGCAGTTTGAAGCAAAGTAGCCTATAAACAATTTTGCAACTCACTAATCATCATATCCACAGACCATGTGACGCACATACGCGACAGACATTTATATTAACATTTATAGCCTAAATTAAGTTAGTTTCTTACAGTCTATCTGGGATTCTGGTCAGAGACGAAGCCTTCAAGTATTCAAGTAATACTGGCGCAAATATGCAACGTCAGTCTAACTTATTTTAATGTGACCAACCGTCGCATGTAGGGATGCGGTGGCAGTCTATGGGTAGAAACTGGCTGTTGCATGTGTGTGTCACTTGTAACGTACTTTCTCAGGTTTTTATCTTTGTACAGCTATCAGACCTTTTCGGGGTTTTCAGGACTCAGATTGACTGAACACTTGCATGGATAATACATAATTTATTATCTCAGGATTAATTCTAGAATCTATATACAATATTTACAGTTTATCTTTATATCTCTTGACAAAGCCCAGTCTGTGGAAGTCCTGTCAGCACGGACGGCTCTTGCAGACTCCTTCTCTCGGCTCCTGCAGTCCTCTCCTTCTCTCGGCTCCTGCAGTCCTCTCCTCTCAGCTCCTGCAGTCCTCTAACTGGCTCCGTATCGGGAAGTGCTGGGCGGCTCACCAACCAGAGCCCAAACGCAGCAGCTCCACACGATGCCACCAGTCTCGCTGTCGGACGTCGACTCATCTGTCTCAAGAAGTGCTGGGCGGCTCACCAACCAGAGCTCAAACGCAGCAGCTCCTTACGAGGTCGCCTGTCCCACTGTCGGATGCGGACTGCCCGAGAAGTGCTGGGCGGATCGCTGTCCCAAGCGTAGCAGCTCTTCGCGATGTCAAGACGTCATTCAATGGGAAACCATCGAATGAAGAGTATGACGAGGCATTTGATCAACTTATTCAAGACTTCAAAAGAAAGAAACTTAAAAAATTGATTTGTTCCCCCATGGGTGTTGTCCGTGACCAAATAAAGTTGGAGCATTTCACGAGAAACATTACTAAATTGCAGAATGAGACCAATGCAACCGTAGTCGTAGTAGCATATGATCAACCTACTGCCAGAAGAAAACTGTGGAATGGGCTGTCGTATGCAGAATTTCTGAAGCAGTTGCAGAACCTTCTTAATTCCTATCAACCTACCTCTGTCCTGCCTTCTGCTGAGAACAACTACTCTGAGGATCCATCAAAGCAAACCGAAGAGGGCTCCCAGTTCTCTAGCTCGACAAAACAGGATAATCTTGTCAGACCTCAACCTGCTGCCTTGACTTCTTCACAATCTGTTGGTCCCATAGTACACCTGGAAGAGAATCCTTCTAGACCTGTCAGCCCTGCGGTGGTAACTGTTCAACCCAGCTACAGTGAGGCACTGAAGTCAACACCAGTGTGTGCAGTGGAAAAGCAGAGTAAAGTGTCTTGCATTCAAAATAGTGATTTATTTTCTTCTGTAAATTTAGATTTAAACTAAGCTGTACTGACAAAGACCATAAGTCTGCCAGTCTCCAAAATTTTACAGTAACAGATATTAATAATTTTGATATTAATAATTTTGACATAAATTCAACTGAAGATAATAAAAATCCACAACTTATTCATCCAGGATGTAATTCAGATCTTATAATGTTTTATAATATTCAAAATTTAAGCTCGTCAAAAATATCAGAACTCAATTTGTTTTTAACTCAGTCTGCTTTAAAAATTAAAGTAATATCACTTGTTGAACATTGGCTTGACAATGACTCTATTAATCTGGCTAACACAATCAATAATTTTTGTTTGGCAGATTTTTATGTAAGAGAAAATGGTGTAAGAGGAGGTTCATGTATTTTAATTAATAAACAATGTAAATTTATACCTTTAAAGGATTTCTCTGATTTGAATGAAGATTTTATATTTGAAGGTTCAGCAGTTGAACTCCCAGATTTCAATTTAATTGTTATTTCAGTCTATACAATTCCAACCTACAAAATGAATAAATTGTTTCTGGTCAGATTCGAAAAGCTGCTTTTGCTTCTGCAAAAAAGAGTAAAAAATAAGTCTGTTTTCATCACTGGTGATTTTAATATTAACATTTTGGAAAACAATCCTATATCTTGTAGATTTAGAGAAGTGGTTGAGTGTGGTGGGTTCTGGCTGCAGTTTGAGGAACCCACAAGGATAGACCCAAATCGCAATTCAGAAACTTGTCTAGATAATATTATTACGCAAAAGAAATATGAGGTAAACTTTAAGCTAAATACTAATTTATGTATGTCAGACCATAATGCTATTTTCTTAAATCTCCCCAAGCCAACTAACTGTAAGATTGCTGTAAATAATCCGGCACCTTCTAGTAAAAGAATATTTTCAAATGAAAAAATTAATTACTTCATAGATTTTTTTAAAAGTAATTGCAGTTTTAATTTTGATCCGAGCTTGAACCCAAGTGAAAACTATTCCAACTTTCTGCACCAATTCCTACTAGCATTCAATCACGTTTTTCCTCCAAAAACTTTGAAAAAAACACGTAAATGTAAGCCAACAGTTTTGAATTGGGTGACACAAGGCATCAAAATATCTAGTGTGAGGAAAAGAGAACTCCACTTGCAAGCTAAGTATAATCAAGATAGACAGTTTTTAATGTATGTGAAACAGTACAAAAAAATCTTTAAAAAAGTAGTAAAGAAGGAAAAAATAATTGCAAATGGTGACTACATAGAAAAGTCTGAAAATAAGTCTAAAGCTGCTTGGCAAGTTGTTAATAAAGAACTTGGTCACGTAAAAAACAAAACTGATGGCAAATTATTTTTAATTAATAACGACAAAGATATATGTAAACCTCAGGATATAACTAGAATATTTAACACTTTCTTTGCCGAAACAGCTTTGAACATTAATGTACCAAAGGCCACTGTGCAAGGAGTTCATGAATCTGTTCGAGACTATTGTAGAGATGAAGGAATTTCGTTGTGTAATCTGCAGCAGATTAGTAAGGGTGAAGTGAAAAAAATTATTCTTTCCCTAAAAAACAAAACTTCTGTGGGTTGGGATGAAGTACCGATCAAATTAATTAAAGCTGCTGTAAATTTAATTTCTGAACCCTTATCTATTATCATAAATCAGTGTTTAACAAATGGAATTTTCCCAGACAAACTTAAATACTCACAAATAACTCCAATTTTCAAAAAAGGCTCTAGGTCAGATATCAACAATTACCGTCCAATATCAGTTTTAAGCAATTTTTCTAAAGTCTTTGAAAAAGTTATAAATAACCAATTAGTTTGTTTCTTTGAACATAATAATCTGTTTTATCAAAATCAATTTGGTTTCAGGAAAAACCTTGGGACAAATACAGCTCTTGTACAATTTATTAATGAGGTATCGGAGGCTTTGGATGGGTCAAGGAATGCAGCTGGTGTCTTCTGTGATCTATCCAAGGCCTTTGATTGTGTTGATCATTCGCTTTTGCTTCAAAAACTACATGACTATGGAATTTCAGGAAGTTGTCTTTCCCTAATTAGATCATACCTTTCAGATCGGAAACAAAGAACTGTAATTTCTGATGAAGGAACTAGGCATTTCTCACATTGGAAATGTATAAAGCTTGGGGTGCCTCAAGGCTCCATTTTGGGTCCCCTTTTCTTTTTAATCTACATAAATGACCTCCCTAAAGCTATTAATAGAGATTTGATTCTGTTTGCTGACGATACTACTGCAATCATTAAAGAAAATAGTAGAGAAGAGCTTCTTACATCTCTCACAGAAGTTATGAAAGAAATGGAAAATTGGTTTAAAATAAATGGCCTTAAACTAAATGTGGATAAAACCCAAATTATAAAATTTTCAGCCAGAAATGAAAGAGAATTAAATAGTTTTTCCAATTTAGTCCATACAAATAAATTCCTAGGCATTCATCTAGATGAAAATATTAACTGGAAGGTGCATCTAGATGCTATAAAGAAAAAAATTAGATCTGCATCATC